TTGTATTCGTCTGTTGCCCATTGCCACCTAGAGTGGCAACTCTACTTCCTCAAATTTACTATGTTTAGAGTCAGTTTTTATTAAAGTTAATAATTACATTATAATAAAATGTAATCAACCTATTAATACACATATTTTATAAATACTGATCAATGCCAATGCAGTCGACCAAAAGTATACTTAATTAGCTTGTTAAAAATAAGCTAGTTTTATACATATCCATAATACATAATAACTAGTTGATTGAAAGAGTAAGAGAACTATGTTTTGATATATCTTTTAAATTAATATTTTCTCATGTAATGATTATTATCTATACTGATTATAGTATTTAATTAAGTATCTATTTTACAAATATAGAGTAAAATGGAATTTATACAACTAAAACAAAATTTACATGGTCCTTTCAGACAGGTTGACCAAGTTCATTTTTTATTTATATAGAATTTACTAGCTGACTCGGCGACCTTCATACTGCCCAAAAGTAATAATTTGAAATAAAATAATATTGCGACTATAAATTGAGATGTAAGCTATCCTATCTTTCAAGTTGGAACAAACTGCACACTGTTATTTAGACCACAGCTGTGGCGATCCGAGACGAGAGATCTTACCGGGATTTCAGTGAAATTTTCATAAATCGCTTGAAGTGGCCCATTCAATATTGAATACATATGGCTATGATGTGCCAAGCATACTCTGCATGCTTGTAAACGAGACATTATTTAATATTGTCAGTCAACTTTTTGGGACAAAACAAGATTCACTCGCAATTATTTATTAAAATAATTACAAACCACAGACTAGTTAGAGATACTACGTATTTACAAACTAACAACCACGGGCTACATTTTATTTTTTATTTTTTGTTGAAGTTCTCCCGTATTAGGGAAGACAAAGGGAACATACCCATACAGTCTGATCTTTAATTAAATTAATCTTCTTTTTGTTTTTACATTAGAATGTCGGTGTGACGCATTCTAATGTGTCTTGGAGTGTTTGGCACGAAATGTATCGAGTTGGCTTTTTCGATAAGCTTCTGTGAGGTAGTCAACACTACAATAAAATTCTCACGTCCACTTGACCGGAATAGCGTATATTTTAACGATTCCACTAATTCTTCAGTTACGCAGACAGTTGTTACACAAAACCACACCAATTTTATTTCACAATATCCATTATGAACGAATTTAAGAATAATTAAAATAAGACGCCAACCACACTCGATGAAATCCCGCCAAAAAACCTTTTTTTTTTTAGTTTTATTCTTCTCTATTGAGAAAGGCAAAGCCATGCAGCCATCGTCTTATTTTTGTATTAATCTTCCTTTTTTTTACATTAGAATGTGGGTGTGACGCATTCCAATGCTTATTGGGGTGTTTGGCACGAAATATATCGAGTTGGCTTTTTCGATAAGTTTCTGTGAGGTAGTCAATACTAAAGCTAAGGGTGACATAGTCATGTTCACCCGTATCTTCACCGAACACAGCGCACTAATCACAACCATCCGCGCACTCACCATCCCCTCCTCTTAATGGCGTCCTCAAGGATCAAACCGCGGTCCCTCAAGTTAGCATTCTTCAATGCTAACGGTCTCTCCTGTCAGAGTGCGGAAATTGCAAAATTTTTAGTAGATCACGCGATAGATATATTTTTAATACAAGAAACGTTTTTGAAACCGTCCATTCGTGGCCCGCGCATTGCCAACTACAACCTAGTCCGGAACGATAGAGACGGCCGCGGCGGTGGCACTCTCATCTACTACAAGCGGTCTCTCCATTGTTCCCCGCTAGTCCCTCCCACTCTGACTGATCTAGAAGTCTCCGTCTGTCGGCTAGGCATGACCGGGCATTGAACGGTCAAGATTGCCTCAGCTTACCTGTCCCCCAACAAAAACCTCACCCAACCAGACCTAGAGGCCCTGTTTGCTATGGACGACGCCGTCATTATTGCCGGCGACCTCAATAGCAAACATGTGCAGTGGAGTTGCAACACAACCAACCGTAACGGCAGGTTGCTTTCCAACTTCTCTGACACCATGGTGTTTGACATCATAGTGCCCCTCGCACCCACCCACTTCCCTTCCCAAGCAGGTCACGCTGCTAATCCCCTAGACATGGCCTTACTAAAGAACGTAGCCCTTAGACTGCGTTCGATAGAAACGGTTCATGAACTCTCCTCCGACCACCGCCCAGTTGTATTACAATTGCGTCCTCCCTCTGACCTCCCATCCTCAAGGACAGTGACGAACTGGAGGAGGATCGAGAAACTACTCGAACCCTCCGCCAGCTCGCCACTCAACTCCATCCCCGACCACATAAACTCCACTCAGGACACCCTCTCTGCGATCGGAGCCCTCTCGAGCCATCTCACTTCCGCAATAAGCGAGGCGTCCCGACAGGTTCCAGCGATGCCAGACCATCGCTGCAACCTGCCGGATGACGCTAGAGAGCTGTTAAGGGTAAAGAACGCTGCCACTAGGACATTCGACACCTACCCCACGGACGACAACTGCTCCCGATTGCGTGCCTTGCAGCGTGCTGTTAAGGCTCGCATGAAGGAAATGCGGGAGTCTAAGTGGGATGAACTACTTGAAGAAATCTCGCCATCACACCAAGCTTATTGGAAGCTGGCGAGATCCTTCAAGTCAGAGGTCGAATCCTCTATGCCTCCCCTGACCAAACCTGACCGATCGATCGCGTTTAACGACGACGAAAAGGCCGAGTGCCTGACCGACAGCCTGGAGGCGCAGTTCTCGCCTAGCACCCTCCCAGTCCCCCTCAAACACGTACAATTAGTTGACTCGGAAGTCGAAAAGTCCTCCTCGCCCCGCCGTACCGCCCACCGCCACACTTGAGCCGGTCACAGTAGACGAGGTGCATTCGTTAATCCGTAAACTGCGCCCGCGTAGCGCCCCCGGGTCAGACGGAATCTCTAGTAAGGTCCTTAAGATCTTACCCGCCCAACTCCTTTGCCTTATCACTGCTATCTTTAACGCGGCTATGACAAACGCGATATTTCCCTCAGAGTGGAAAGAGGCCGTCGTTATCGGGATCCGGAAACCCGGTAAGGACGGCGCCTTACCCTCTAGCTACCGCCCTATTAGTCTCCTGAAAACACTGGGGAAACTCTACGAACGCGCCCTCGCTAGGCGCCTTAAAGATTTTCTCTTCGCAAACAACCTCATTATGAACGAACAGTTTGGTTCCCGTCCCAAACACTCGTGTGTCCACCAGGTGCACCGCCTAACGGAGCACATCTCCCATTACCGCGATCAATATCGAGCCTCCGCGATTCTCACAGGTGCGCTTTTCTTCGACATGGCGAAAGCATTTGACAAAGTCTGGCAAAATGGCTTAATCTATAAGCTATACAAACTCAGTGTGCCGAATAGACTCGTGCTCATCATACGGGACTTTTTGTCGAATCGCTCGTTTCGCTATCGCGTCGTAGGAACGCTCTCCTCGCCTCGTCCAATACGCGCCGGAGACCCTCAGGGCTCGCCACTCTCGCCTATCCACTACTCGGTCTTTACGAACGACATGCCCAAGACTCCTAAGGTCGATCTCGCGCTTTTCGCCGACGACACCGCCCTCTATACCTCCGATAGACGTCTCGGAACAGTCTGTAATAGACTTCAATCAGCCGCTACCACCCTTGGCGATTGGTTCCGTAGATGGCGTATCGAGGTTAATCCGGAGAAAAGCGTCGCGATCCTCTTTAGCGGGAAAAGAACTCACAAACATAACTCATTCCATTCGTTCACGATAATTGTCTGTGATTCCGAACTTTATGTGCGTCTTCGAAGATGAAATAGAGCAATCACTGGCGAAATTTCGTTTAAAATTCGTTCGTTACCGAAATTTCGTTTCGGAGAAAGAGAGTAGGGCTCCAGGGGGTAGGTTGGGGCATGGATGGAGTCTACTGACAGTTTTGACAGATAGCTGAGAGTTTGCAACGATTTATTTGGGGTTTAAAACGGCAACATTTTGTTAAAAACGTCGTCCGTGTGGATGTCTCGACTTACGTCGTTTCGATTTACGTCGTGTATTTCGAGAACCTAACATGCCGTTAGTACGAGGACTGCCTGTACATGATGAATATGAAACCTTCTCCTTTCTCATTTTAAATCGGTAGAAAAATATTTATTATAGCCAAAAATAAAACTTCTTTGACAAAACTTCATCTTTATTTCTATGAAATTATTCATTTTATACAATATCAATTTCTTTGTATTAAAAAACTTAATAAGTATAAATGTGTATTATTATAATTTAAAGTTACAAGTACCTTTGCTAAAACAATGAACTTATTGTAATAAATATTGCAACATACGCCGTTCATCAAATGTAGCTGAAACTAGCAGACATATCCGGCTGTGGCATAAGTTTTCACATGAAAAATCACTTAAATCGTACTTTTTCTCAAATCGCACTTGGAAATAGCGTTAGATACCCTTCCTCATGAAAACAAGTTTTTTACTTGAACAAAAAACAGCAAAAAATCACGTCTGTTGTACGGGAGCGCGCCTTAATTATTTATTTTATACTGTTTTCAGTTTCTTTATTTGTTGTAATAGTTGCAATTCAAATACATTATTTGTGTAAATTACAAATAATGTGTTGGCGTTGCCGCTGTGACGGTTGTGCTACAATGTCATTCATCCACAATCATTAACTTTACAATGTTCACAGCCACACTCCACAATTAAGTAAATGACGGATGCTAATTGTTCCTTTGCGCTTTCATTAAAATTAGACAAGCCGTGACTTAATGGGATATTAAAATTCATTCAAGTTTGTGAGCACAATTTCAGTTTTAGTTAAATGGAAGTGCCTAAAGGACTTTGGCATTTATGAGTCACAACAAATTCTTGTCTTCCGTTTGAGGAGATCAATGTCGCAAGTGGTAAACGCGTCCAGTGCGGATCGTTGAAGTTCAGCAACTTTCACAATGGTCAGTCATTAGACAGGTGACCAAAAATTTACTATATCCGTGCTTCGGAAGGCGAGTTAAGCCATTTTCCCGGCTGCATCTGCAGTTGTTAGCACCCATCAATCCGCACTGGGCCTGTGTGGTGGGTCACGGCCCAGTCTCCCTATTCCATCCATAGGGAAGGCCTGTGCCCCAGTAGTGGTGACATTAATAGGCTTATCATGAAGAATAAATTGTTACCATAAATTACAGCATTAACAGTGTCCAAGTTCACTTCTTTTCACTTCTGTCTTTTGTGTCGCACAGTTCACTTATTATTAAGTCTTCGAGTCACATATTTCACTTGTCCGTTTTCTTAGCAGAATTTCACAGCACTTTTACTAATTAACACGATCATCATTCCACGAGTTGCACAGTCCATTTCTCCTGTCCTTCTTCGCTGAGCACGTAAACATCTTTGTCCCAAACCTCGACACTTTGCTCGGCTGCCTGCTGTTCTTCCTGGCTGATACCGTTTGATATCTCTTCGGTCACTATCGTTTCTTCGGTTTCAACTTCTTCGAGTTCGTGGTCTTCTAGTGGGGTGACCTGGAATTGGGGTAATATGTTATAGTAATGTAAAAGGAAATGGTTATGATTATTAACTTATTGTCTTTTTATTTGGATAAACTAGCGGCCGCCCGCGACTTCGCACGCTTGGAGTTAGTTATTTGCACATACTTTTTGACCCTAAAAGGGGGGTTTTCTTCTAAAGATACATTATTAGTACACCTCTACACCAGCTATAGAGCATACATGTTAAATTTCAAGTCTCTTCCTTCAAAAACATAAGACTTTCATATAAACTTCCAACCCGTATTACCCTTAGGGGTGGAGTTTCGTGATAAATGTAGCCTATATTTATAATTTTTATTTTTTTAATGCATGTAACTGCTTGATGTTTAAATCTAAAGAAAATTCCACGAGGACCAACAAGGCAGCAGACGGGACTCGAACCCGCACCCTTCGCAATCCGGGCGAATGCACTGACCAATTATGCTACCGCGGCCCTCACAAAATAAAAATTATAATTATAATTGCTATTTCTTCTTTCAAATGTTTAATACTTGTAAAAGTATTCATTTGACATTGTGGGTTACCTACAGTGCGAAGAGATGGCGCTGCCTTGCAGCTTAAGAATGGCTAGAGGAATATCGACGCGGTCCGTGAGGGCCGTGGTAGTAGAAAGGTGCGGGTTCCAGTCCCGCCAGCTGCATGGTCCGCGTGGAATTTTTTCTAGCTATATTTTCTTTATGTAGCCTATATGTTGACCCGACTGCAGTACTTTTTGAGTTTATTCCGGACATACATACAGACAAAACTTCTAAAAACTATATTTTTGGCTTCAGTATTGATTGTAGATCACACCCCAAGTATTCTTTTAAGAAAATATTCAATGTACAGTTTTGACTTTCCTACCATTTTATTATATGTATAGATAAGATAGATTAATACTTTATTACAACACCAAATACTTACAAACATTATATTTGAAGTTTTTACTTAGTGAATGGGAATGGGTTGTCCAGACTTTTATGACGTTGACGATCTCCATGGCCGAATAGTTTGTACGCCGGGTTTCATGGTGTCGCCGACTCGAGAGGTCCCGGGTTCGAATCCCGGTGGGGGCAGATGTTTGTGTGATGAATACGAGCATTTGTACTCCAGTCATAGATGTTTAATATGTATTTCTATATAAATATACTTATATATGTACAGTATATGTATTCTATCCGTTACCCTAGTATCCCATAACACAAGCCTTACAGTGCTTACTTTGGGGCTAGGCTAATTAGTGTGAGCGTTGGAAATATTTATCTATTTATTTTTTATGTCCCCCCCTCTTAATAAGCGACCGCCACATGGAAATTTGAAAAATCCTAACAAAAATCCAATCTTTGTATAAAACTCCAGACATTTTAGTCACAAAATACAAAAACGACTGAAGACCCAAAGAGAAGATTTGTAAAAAAGTGCTGATTTGACATTTTTTATTAAATTTTAACCATGAATTATAATACTACGCTATAAGGAAGTTTTAGAGCTGGATGGCGCCAGTGGTAAGCGCGTCCGGCTGCGATCGTTGAAGTTAAGCAACTTTCGCAGTGGCCGGTCATTGGATGGGTGACCAAAAATCTATTATCTCTCACTGCTCCGTGCTTCGGAAGGCACGTTAAGCCGTTGGTCCTGGCTGCAGTAGCCACCGTAACCACGTGGTGGGTCACGGCCCAGTCACCCCAGCCCCATCCATAGGGAAGACCTGTGCCCCAGCAGTAGGGACACGAAAAAAGTATCGATACTTTGTGATATCGAGTACTTTTCCTTTCGATACCGATACTTTTGTACTCGATACTTTTACTAAATGAGTACCTTTCGGCAAGTATTAATACCTTTAAAATTTGGATAAGCGCCTCATACTGATGGCAACGCCATCTTGTTAAATCATAGCAAACCTTCTAAAACGTTCCATAGAGTATTTGACAAGTTTTAGGCAACGATCTCACGTTATTGACTAATGTTTATGGAGTCCGTAAAAAGTGGATATTCATCATTCTGTCGTGTATTTCAGTAAAAATAACCAAATCAAAAACTCCATTTTAAAGTTGCCGCGAAAACGTTTCTCTGGACAATATGGCGTCTTACTAGTGTGTGACGTCACACGACTGTTATTAAAACGTCAAACGATACAATGTAATGTCACTTTGACCGGAAGTTTACTTGCGAGTGACGTCATTTTAGGCTCCGAGAATCCCAAGCGTTTTGGGTTACGTGACAATAGATAAGTAAACTTATATCTTTTTCGTTATTTTGGCACTTTATTTTTAATAGTGTCAAATGCCCTATTGCGTTGTTATAAAGTCAGTAACTGACATATTCAAATTATGTCCAATCTGTGACTGTGTTTATTTTTCGCAACTGTTTTGTTTCATAGTTATTTATTTAGCGACCATATTATTAGGAACTGTGATTGATTTTTTTTTTTTTTTTGCCAACACACACCAATTAGCCTAGCCCCAAAGTAAGCACTATAAGGCTTGTGTTATGGGATACTAGGGTAACGGATAGAATACATAAACTGTACATATATAAGTATATTTTTTTTTATAGAAAATACATATTAAACATCCATGACTGAAGTACAAATGCTCGTATTCATCACACAAACATCTGTCCCCACCGGGATTTGAACCCGGGACCTCTCGAGTCGGCGACACCATGAAACCCGGCGTACAAACCACTCGACCACGGAGGTCGCCATTTAGTCAGGTCAGTGATTCGCCGTTTATTGTGGTTTTCGCTTGACTGTATTTGATTTATTGAAGTGTAACACTATTATTGTGTCTGTGCTGTGTATACCTATTTGACCACAGACCTGAAAAAGCTATTTTCTTTTCATTATATATTTAACTAGCGGCCCGCCCTCGCTTCGCTTCGGTGTAGAGCTGAAATGTAGACTACAATTTTTGTTCTCAGGCTTGTATTATACACAATGGCATTCATCTATTATTCTTCTTATACCTGCATGCAAAGTCTCAGCCCGATCGGTTTAAAATTGACAAAGTTTCATACAAACTTTCATTCCCTATTTTATCCCCTTGGGGGTAAATTGATCAAAATCCTTTCTTAGTGGATGCCTACGTCATCTACCTGCATGCCAAATTTCAGCCCTATCCGTCCAGTGGTTAGGGGTGTGCGTTGATAGATCACTATGTCAGTCAGTCACCTTTGAGTTTTATATATCGTCGCTGCGCCTGGAAAATCCGATAAACTTATTTTTTCCGAAATTGAGCTTTGTGGCTACTTTGGCTTAATTTGCGACGCCCGATAGGGCTATAAAACCCGTTTTGTCAAAAGTCAGTTTGCAAGAAAAGTAACATAAACAGCTATGTATTTGTCAAAGAAAAATAGGCGTCAAAAGGCCGTATACAGAAAGAAAGCCGAAAGCCGATCCTTCCTACATAAAGGAAGCTGATTAAAGCAGATCAAGCAAAATGTCGGACTCATCGGACGATGATTTGGTTTTGTTAGAAAATGTTTATTTAAAAATGCGAAAAACAGCTATACATCCTATAAATAGAGAAAGGAAACGTTTCGGAGAATACCATCATTTATTTGTAAAAAAAATTAAATTTGATGAACAAAGATTTTATACATATACAAGAATGATTCAAGAAACATTTTATTACATTTTGGATTTAGTGAAAAACCGTTTGATGAAAAATTGGGGCAATTGACATAAACAAACAATCCTTCCAGAAGAAAGACTTGTTGTCACCATTCGGTAAGTACGAAACAAATAATTTTAGCGCTTAGTTAATAAAAGATAAAGTTATTAGATTTATAAAAAGATTATAACTTAGATTGATTTAATCTAAGGATAATAATTCAAATACAAATTATTTATTATTCGGACCAGCGCGTGTTGGTGCTTATCGGCGCCGGTCCATAGAAAAAGGATCGGCGCCGATCGGCTTTCGGCTTTCTTTCTGTATACGGCCAAATGCGCTTTGTGTCGGTGGTATACATGGCGTATTTTCCACTCATAGTCGATGCGCTATTCCTGCGCCTTTATGTTGCACATGGCGGTAATTTTATTTGGCGTGCAAACGAAACTATACTATTTAACTTGTTTGTTTGTTAAACAAGTATTTATTGCAAGTTTCACATTATTAACTTATTGTAAAGGATTGGATTTTAAATTATTGCAGAACATACGGAAATACTTATTTCAACAAACAGTACCGTGGAAATAAATGTAAAAAACTGAGTTTTTGGTGATTTTCCTAAACACAACCTCAAACTACCCATTTCGTTAAAATACTATATTGTTATATATAATTATTATCTTCAAACTTTTTATTCCGTCGTTAGATGCGCTGATTTTATTTATTTCTTGACGTTTCGCAGCGTTTGCAGGAATGCGTCTTCAGAATAATGATTTTTTATTTACTTTGTCGAGCTACCTTCGAAAGACTTTTATTAAGCATTCGGATATTTTATTGGTAGATTTTTAAAACTTTATTGTCTATGCATGAATATATTAGTTAATTAAATAATAAAGTACTTTCGTTAATTCCTTTTTATAATTTTGAGTTTATTTATTTGATTCTAACTACCGGAAACTTCAAAAAAGGTAGGTTCGTAGGTTCCAAAATTAGGAGACCTTTCGGAAAAGAACCGGCGAAAATAAACTCTTTCGGGAGGCTTCCTTTCTCCTTCTTATGTTAAATCATGCAAACAAAAAGTACTAATTGTATCTGTTGGTCTATGTCTAATAGCTCAGGGTAAGAATTTTATCTGGGTTCCCAAGCTGGAGGTATATACCAACTTACCCTATTTAAATTTGGATATTGCTTAATCTCAATAGCCAATATCCAAATTTCAATAGGAAACTATTAACAAGCGACGCAAGACATCGGAAGATTTAATAGAAACAGATGATAAAATAAACAGTGGCATTGATTGTTATTTGCCGAGACATGACGGTATTAAACTGAGACTTTGCAGAGACTTTTACTAGCGACACTAGATATTAAAAAAAATCTTTCACAGATTGGATAAGAGCAGAAGATGCCACGAAACATACAACAGAATCAATGACATTGCCAAGTAATAATCCAAACCAGATCAAACGAAAAACATTGAAATCTGATTCAGTTACGAAGTGGTTAGATGCGCTACAGATGGTGCCTAGCCATTATTGTCGCGCAAACAGTTCCAGGATATATGTTGACGATGCACTGCAATCATTGACGAAAATGTATTCCGTTTATTATTTTTGTTGCTAGGAAAATGAGTTACCAGCCTTTCAAAGAAAGAAAAACGACAAATACATATTTTACAATATAAATTAACAATAATAAACTAAGTTTGTAACAAGCATTCTCGATTTTATGGAAAAACTAAAAGAATCGAATGGATACCAAAAATTTGGTTTAACATCAGATGGCTGTGCATACCAGATCAAAAACAAAGTCTGAGTGAGTGCATTGCCTGACATTTCCAATAAAGAATCGATAGTCATCCACCAAATTATTTTGGAAAATGACTCCATCCTCCTTCTCCTTCATCATTGTGTGCCCCTTGCACACAATGATGGAGGTGGATAGTGTGCACTCTACTCTAGAAAAACTTTTTCAACCACCACTATATACCCCTGGCCAGTGGCGTAGCATGGGGGGGGGGGGGGGGGGGGGCGGTCCGCACCGGGCGGCACTTTGCCGGGGGCGGCGCTGCGGAGGTGGCAGATAGAGAAAAAAAATTAAAATATAAAAAAAAGTTAATTTCTTTCAGTTTTTTTTCGTCATCTTTTTGTTGTTGTTACCAAATTGCTGAAAGGAAGACTAGAAAAGTTAAATTTTAATCTTTCAGTTGAGGAGTTGAGGTTGTAATCAGTAATGATACTCGTGCGCGAAAGAGCGTTCGTGAAGTAGGCGATTTCTCCATTATTGTATTACGTTTTCTCTGTAATTTTTCTAAGTGATATTGTGATAGTCTACCCTCTACTCTATGTCAAAAAATGTTAATTTCACTCTTAGGTTTTTTTTCATTCAATAAAAGTACTCTTTTTACCATGCCTCAATTTTTTTATAATGGATTGCAAAAATAAGAGGGCGGCAAATTTGGAATCCGCACCGGGTGCTAGTGACCTATGCTACGCCACTGCCCCTGGCGACTATGTCTACCGGATCCGACAAGCAAGACCAACACAGCCGTACGAAGTGACTAACGTCGACCACACTTTCTTCAAAAATTGTGACGATTTACCAAGTAACTTTAACTAACTTACCGGTTTCGGTAGCGTTGTGAAGTATCTGAGTATTTTATGTTTACCTATATATTTAAATTTATCTTATTGTATTGTATTTTTCTTTTAATTTTTTTCCCCCTTTTCGTCTTCTTCTAATCTAATTATCAGGAAAACTTTTGCCTTGTGTTCCGCACAACCTCCCTTACTCGCTTACCTTATTTTATTTCCAGCTCATTGGGTTGTCTGGAAGAAATCGCTCATTAGCGATAAGACCGCCCTTTGTGCAATGTTGTATTTTTCTACTTGTTTTGTATCTGCTTGTTTTGTTACTGTGTTGTGCAATAAAGAGTTTTTATCTTATCTTATCTAACTTTACTTCGATTCAGCCGAGCAAAAAAAACAGGAGATCCAACTGTTACAGATATTAGGGCACTGCTTTGTAAACAAGGCAAAGCTTGGTTTAAAATTTTTCACCCAGATGACTGGGTACTGCTACCACAACGAAGAAAACCTGAGTTATATCAATCACCTGCCGCGAAAACGTTTCTCTGGACAATATGGCGTCTTACTAGTGTGTGACGTCACACGACTGTTATTAAAACGTCAAACGATACAATGTAATGTCACTTTGACCGGAAGTTTACTTGCGAGTGACGTCATTTCAGGCTCCGCCAATGACACCTGCACTGTCACACGAAAGACTTAGTAAAATAGAAAAAAGCAATTTGCTCATTGGGCCACAAAGGATCCGATCAGGCCCTATGAAATGTATTCGATACTTTGAAGTATCGATACTTTTGTTTCGATACTTTTTTTCCGATGCTACTCATGAGTACAGTATCGATACTTTTACGAGTACGATACTTTTTTTCCGATGCTACTCATGAGTACAGTATCGATACTTTTGTTTCGATACTTTTTTTCCGATGCTACTCATGAGTACAGTATCGATACTTTTGTTTCGATACTTTTTTTCCGATGCTACTCAAGAGTACAGTATCGATACTTTCTATTCGATATCGTGTCCTCACCCAGCAGTGGGACATCAATAGGCTGGATAATATCTTCAATATCTCACCTCTACTTCTATAGCATCACTGCTGATTCCCATCATGCCGATCAGCTCTGCGTACTTGATTTTCTGTTCCTCAGTCATTTTGGCCGGATTGTGGTTCCTAAGATGATAGTTTAGGTGACTGCTTTGCTTGAACCTGGGGAATGTGAACGATATCATTAATAATATAATAATAATAATCTTTTATTTTGCCAAAATAGTGTACAATATTTAAACTTACTAATAACATAGTTTTTTTTTTCTTATAAGGTAGGTAATAGTAAAAACAAAATCTTAGGCATAAGAGTTTTCTGACATAGTCGCACTGAGCCCTAGCTAGATTATAAAATAATCTGTGTTAAGGGCAACAGTCCCGTTCCCTCGTCGTATCCTATAAAAAGTTAATTATAAAGGCACAAACATACAATACTACATGCACACACATACTTTAAGACCAAATAATTTAAGCCGTATTTATAAATGTGTATTTTTTACCGTAAACAAAAGTTGTGGTTGAGTGGTGGAAAATTTATTAAATACTTATATATCGGGTTTTTCTATTATATAGGTAAGTACTTTAATTACATTAATACCACCCTCGTCCTAATTAAAGTAATAGGGATGATGACTAATTTTTTTTTTCTTTGCATTTATCAGGTAGATTATCAAAATGTATTGGACACGTATTTTTTCTTTTTTCACATAATATAGACATTGCAGAGATATATTGATTTGAAAAGTCGCATAACGTCACGTTTGAGTACACTTAGAAGTGAAAATTCACTCAAAAGTGACGTCACGAGCTCCTACTCCCAAACTTTGACGCGCTATAACTTTGTCATTTTTTTGGTTGATTGCAAAAAGAAAAAATACGTGTCCATTATTTTTTGATCATCTAACAGACGGACTAAATAGAATTTCGTTTACTGTACCACGTCATCACCCCTATTCTGTGATTAGTAGATTTATTAAAAAATAATTAGGTACAAATCGAGAAAGGAACAGAAGACATCGAGAACGGGGAGAGATGACTTTAAAAAAGGGGCCGAGTTGAGATTGAGAATGGGACGAGATGATATCGAGAATGGGACGAGTTGATTTCGAGAATGTTACGAAATGACATCAGAATGGAGCAAGATAAAACGAAAATGGGGCGAGTAGAACATAAATGGGGCGAATCGAGATCACGAATGGGGCGACATTTCATTGAGTATGGGGCGAGTTGACATCGAGAATGGGACAAGTTGAGCTAAAGAATGGGGCAAGTTGAGATCGAGAATGGGATGAATTGACATCGAGAATGAGGTGAGTTGACACCGAGAATGGAACGAGTCGATCTCGATTTCTATTCCATATTAACAAAAACGGCTGAACGGATATGGACGAACATCAGCACACGCTTAGTTCATTACCAGGCCCACTAGCATGACCACCGAAACGGGATATGATAAAGCGATATATCGGCATTAACTGTCAGACTACTGTCAAACTCCATAGTAGTCTGACAGTTAATGCCGTTAAATCGCTTTATCATATCCCGTTTCGGTGGTCATGCTAGAGGGGCAGGATTGAGACGAAGGATTTACTTTAGTAAGTAGTTTTTTATTTACTCAAATGTTTGGAACATGACAGAAACATTGTGTTTTTTATAAATATAAATGTATTAAACACAAAAATTTATAAATTTTGGTGATATTATTAATGGACAAGAAATCTGCAAAATTTGGTCACTAGGGGCGCTGTAATCGCTTGACCCAAAACTTCTATCAAATACATACCTATTAGCTTATATTCATTTTTAAGCTTTATGGAAAATGCATCTATGTACCGAGAATGAGCATTCTAGCATAATAATAGAAAGAGTACCTTTCTACTAGATCAACTTTTCTGCATTGCATAGATGCTCCTCTCATATTCAACTCTGTTTTCAGCTATATTACAGACCATGTTGAATACATTTTCACCACTTATTTAATATATTTAACATTAAAAACCCGTTCAAAATTTCACAGCTTCAATATTCGGCTGTGGTTTGGGTCAAGCGTTTGCAGCGCCATCTATGTCGAGCTTTGCGTATACTTCTCCATTGTGACATCTGATATTATTATTACAATTTCATTGTACTTTACTGAAAAAGTTTCTAACTAAAATTGTTACTAACAAACTATGGACATGTTCTGAGAATGAAATGACAATATTATTATATATGAGGAGCTGGCAAACAAAACGGTAAATCATCATCATCATCAGCCTATTAATGTCCCCACTGTTGGGGCACAGGCCTTCCCTATGGATGGAATAGGGAGATTGGGCCATGACCCACCACGCGGGCCCAGTACGGATTGGTGAGTGCTAACGACTGCAGATGCAGCCGGGACCAACGGCTTAACGTGCCTTCCGAAGCACGGAGGAGCTCGAGATAGTAATTTTTGGTCACCCATCCAATGACCGACCACTGCGAAAGTTGCTTAAGTTCAACGATCGTAGCCGAACGCGCTAACCACTTGTGCCATCGAGCTACTTGCGTCATCGAACTTATCGAGCAAAACGGTACAATTACATAAAATTAACAGGAGCTGTATAAAACTGAATGACATAACTACAGTGAGCTTTTGGCATGGATTTTAATTTATAAAGGACATGGCTAAGAAACTGCCCTTAACGTGTATAAATATTTCGCACTAGCCCAAAACTTTACAAAATAAACTTAATTATTACGTGTTTATTGTTCTCTTAAAACTTTCGTGAAATAATCAAATATTTAAAAGTATAATAAATTACTTCATGTCTGCTTCAAAAGCAAAATATTCCGTTTTACATAATAAATGAACAATAAATGTACAAAAAAAAATTTATGTAAGTATATCGAAACAAACAATATTATTTCTAAACTACTTCAAACTATGACATATTTGGCCCTAATTTTTATTATAAGAAATCCCTAAAGGCCTAAAATAATAGATTTTATTATTCTGATCAGGCTTGAGACAAGGCTGTATGATTATTAATCCTTTGATTTTTGCAAATGGACAAAATAAAACTTCACAGATTTCCTGTCAGTCCGACGAAAACAAATTATTTGTATTTATTTTCGCTTTAAAATACTTTTTATGAAGAGTTAATCAGAGAAATGGGAAGAAAAATTCTTAAAAATTGCGAAATTGACGACTCTGTAAATAATAGGCAACATCTTTTATCAACTGTAGCAAGGTAATGACATAGTAGGAATTCTCATAATTTTCAAGATTGTGACTTTATCAAAAGTTCCCGAGCCTTTTTCATAGAAATTATAAATATTCAGCCATTTACCAGTAAACATTACTAAGTACACTATTTATACATTGCCAGGGCAGTCGCTCATACAAAACTTTACCATGTCCTTTAGTGATTGAAACACTGTTTTAGGCGGTTTTCATTTAAAATTATATGACATTCAAATTTAATGGGCCAGAAAACTCTGGACTGTATAAAAAACAACGTAACTTGAGCAGTTTTTTTTATTATTTTTTATATTTATTATTAAAACAAAATGATGCGTATTTATACCGTTTTGTTCGCCAGCTCCTCAAATAAATACACACCTTTGGGAACATATTCCACATTGGAAGGGAGATACGTTGGTATGCGTTCTCATATGTTGCTTCAGATGTATGGATTGACAGAACGCTTTCGTACATATCACGCAACGATAAGGTTTCACCTACAAAAAAAACTATGAATTAGCGAATGTCAGGCGAATCCGGGGTGTTTTTGATAGTCTATGATACCTTAACATGTACCTAACAAAAAAAATGTGGTTTTTGGCGGGATTTCATCGAGTGCGGTTGGCGTCTTATTTTAATTACTAGCAAACCAGTGAACCAAATGTTCACAAAAAAAAAAAAAGTATTTAATTAATTGAGAACTTCGGAGATTTTGTGTGGTTTCGTTTGAAATTCGTGATATCTCGAAAACCGGAAGTGCTACGTTACTCAAGTCCGGTTTGTAGTCTTATCAGACTATTCTTAACTTATAACTTAAACATTCTCTTTATCTATCTCTTACGGTTTGGCCGCTGAAACAGCACCACGGACGGACGGACTTGTCTAATAGATAAGAGATTCTTAAATTCGTTCATAGTGGATATTGTGAAATAAAATTGGTGTGATTTTGTGTTACAACCGTCTGCGTAACTGAAGAATTAGTGGAATCTTTAAAATATACGCTATTCCGGTCAAGTGGACGTGAGAATTTCATTGTAGTATTGACTACTCACAGAAGCTTATCGAAAAAGCCAACTCGATATATTTAGTGCCAAACACTCCAAGAAGCATTAGAATGCGTCACACCCACATTCTAATGTTAAAAAAAAAATGGGTGCGTGTACTTATGTAGGCGCGTGAGCAGTTATCCTTCTTTGGCATCGTTTAAAATTAGTTTTTAATTGCATGCAAATAATTAATTACAATAAATTAATAAAAAGTCTGGAAAAGGACACAGTCAATAAAGTTCAGTTTTAATTTGAAAAAATAAATAAATAATCAAAATATTCAATTAAAATCGCTACTGAATATAATTTATTAGAACATATGTGATTTGCACTTGTATGAAACTCAAACACGTATTCCGAATATACAAACTAGAAATATGTGGATAAATATTATAAATATGAATACCTATAACTGTTACTTTATTACAAAAAATAAAGATGTGGTTTTTGGTTCTACTACACCAATGGTCAAGAGATGGCGCTGTAGTCTCCTGAATCGCGCTTTGGTTCCGTTGTTCCAGATTAATAAATACTTTTGATAGGCCTTCACAATGCAGTCGTTAGCACCCACTAAATAGAGATTCTATTTCTATTTTGTTGGTAGATTTTCTTAATGTGCGGTAAACACAAAAGTAACCTTTAGCGACCAACTTCATGCTGTTAATTTTTTGTGTTACAGTGATGCGCGCGCATCTTAAAATTTCACTCTCATCATTTTTTCATAACGCGCCTAAAGAAGTATAACTTCAAAAGGAAGATTAAAAGATAAATAAGACAATGGCTGCATGGCTATGCCTTTGCCTTTCTCAATAGAGAGGAATAGAACTAAAAAAAAATGTGATGGAGTTTTAAGGCTCAAATTCTCTGATGAGCGTAAAGACTGAGAGTGGGAACAGTGGAGAAAACTGAAAAGCTCTTTAAGATAATTGGGATATTAGTATAGATATCAAATTAAATAAAGCTTGCAATTGTAAGGTGTACTCACTTTTGTATGTATCCGTAGATGTTGATCGAGCCCAGATTTCTGTGTGAACGCTTTGGGACAATATGTGCATGAGAATGGTCTGTCTCCGGTGTGCATCCTCATGTGTTGTTGGACACCAGCCTGTGACAACGGAGACGTGGATTTAAATTAAATATACATAAATAAATTATATATCCTAAAGAAAATACTATCATTATGTTTGCTTAATATATGTTTGTTAAAGTCAGATTTTAATAATAATAATCTTAATATATATAAATCTCGTGTCACAATGTTTGTCCTCAATGGACTCCTAAACCACTTAACCGATTATAATAAAATTCGCACACCATGTGCAGTTCGATCCAACTTGAGAGATAGGATAGTTTAAATCTCAAATTATAGTCGCAATTTTAATTTATTGCTAAATATTACTTTTGGGCGGTACGAAGTTCGCCGAGTCAGCTAGTAAATAAATAAATATTTCCAACACTCACACCAATTAGCTTAGCCCCAAAGTAAGCACTGTAAGGCTTGTGTTATGGGATACTAGGGTATCGGATAGAATACACATACTTTACATAAATAAGTATATTTATATAGAAATACATATTTAAACATCCATGACTGGAGTAAAAATGCTCGTATTCATCACACAAACATCTGCCCCCACCGGGATTCGAACCCGGGACCTCTCGAGTCGGCGACGCCATGAAACCCGGCGTACAAACCACTCGGCCACGGAGATTTTGCACCACCGTTTACTTATACAGTTGAATGCCATAGAATAGGACCCAATTATATTTAAATGATTAATATAGGTGCCCAGTTAATCACTTGTTGCTTAGCATCTCACTATAAATTGCAAAGAATTATTGTGTAAGCTGCGGATAGTGTATTTGACTGCATGTTTGTTATTAAAATTAACAGTAACTACCAGTGAACCAAATGTTCACAAAAAAAAATGCATTTAATTAATTGAGAACTTCGGAGATTTTGTGTGGTTTCGTTTGAAATAGAAATCACGTGATTTCTCGAAAACCGGAAGTGCTACGTTACTCACATCCGGTTTGTAGTCTTATCAGACTATTCTTAACTTATAACTTAAATATTCTCTTTATCTATCTCTTACGGTTTGGCCGCTGAAACAGCACCACGGACGGACGGACAGACTTGTCTAATAGATAAGAGATGCTATTTTACATATTGTAAATGTGTAGTTGTTAACAATTCCCAATAAATGAAATAAATACTTTTGATAGGCCTTCACAATGCAATCGTTAGCACCCACTAAATAGAGATTCTATTTCTATTTTGTTGGTACATTTTCTTAATGTGCGGTAAACACAAAAGTAAACGTATGAAGTTGGTCGCTAAAGCGACTAACTTCATGCTGTTAATAATTTGTGTTACAGTGATGCGCGCGCATCTTAAAATTTCACTCTCATCATTTTTTCATAACGCGCCTAAAGAAGTATAACTTCAAAAAAAATAAAGATATTTGCTACCTTAAAAATCCAAAAGTTACATAAGAAACTTAAAAAACGTATATATATAAAAACGAATATGCTTCTGACCACACGACTCAAGGGAAACTTCTTTAGCTCCATCTTTATGTATATACAGATCGTCCCACGGCTACCTCACACGGAGGGAAAGTATATTAAATATTGAAGATAGGATATTTTACTGAAAGAAGACATCATATTTAGCATATACTAATAATCTAAAGAAAAGTTTACTAGAAACAAAATCCACGCGGACCAGGCAGCGGACGGGACTCGAACCCGCACCCTTCGCTATCCGGGCGAATGCACTGACCATTATTGCTACCACGGCCCTATTCGCCGCGTCGAAATTTTCCTAGCCTTAAGCTGCAAGGCAGCGCTATCTCTTCGCATTTGTAGGTAATCCACAATGTCAAATGAATACTTTTTCAAGTATTTAAACATTTGAAAGAAGAAATAGCAAATATAGTTATGTTTTTTATTTATTTTTAAGCATTTAACTTCTAGATGTTTAAATCTAAAGAAAAGTTTACTAGAAAAAAATCCACGCGGACCAGGCAGCGGACGGGACTCGAACCCGCACCCTTCGCTATCCGGGCGAATGCACTGACCATTATGCTACCACGGCCCTATTCGCCGCGTCGAAATTTTCCGAGCCTTAAGCTGCACGGCAGCTTATATACTAATAATACTTATGATTTTCCCTTTCGATGGTTATCTTAAAATACATCGTGATTTTTTTTCGAAATTTCACGAGTTTGAATCCCAGTTGTAGCACGCTATTTTAAAAAAATCTGTGAATACAGTTCTAATTAATATTAAAAATAAAACGATGTCTTCTTTCAGTAAAATATCCTATCTTCAATATTTAATATACTTTCCCTCCGTGTGAGGTAGCCGTGGGACGCCCTGTATATGTGAATACACACACACATATATAATGAGTGTGTGTACAATATATACATGTATGTACATATGTCATTTACTAGCTATAAGAGAAAGAGAGAAAAAAAATATGCGCGCGCACTGCTTTCTCTTGCTTATATACCCCACTCAACTCCCGTTCACCTCGCCCGATCACACTTTTCGTAATGCGTAACGCGTTCGCCGGCTTACTCCCCAAGTCAAGCGAGCGTAAAGAAGGTTCACTTCAAATTAGTGAGAACAGCAATCTTAAGAGACAGTACAAACGGACAGGATTTTAATTAAAAAAACAAACAGAAAGACAAATTAAAAACAACTATTAGTGGTCATTAAAATTTTTTTTTCACTCACACCAATTAGCCTAGCCCCAAAATAAGCAATGTAATGCTTGTGTTATAGGTTGCTAGGGTAACGGATAGAATACATATACTGTACATATATAAGTATCTAATATATAAAATTCTCGTGTCGCGGTGTTTGTGGTTAAACTCCTCGGAAACGGCTCGACCGATTTTCGTGAAATTTTATATGCATATTCAGTAGGTCTGACAATCGGATGTAATCTATTTTTCATCCCCCTAAATGTTAAGGGTAATCAACCCCTAAATATTTTTTTTTCAATTATAGATTTTTTTTTTTATGATACATTAAACAAAAATACATACAACCCTAAATTTTCACTCTTCTACCACCAACCCTTATTTTTTTATGGCAGTACCAAGTTCGCTGGGTCAGCTAGTATTTATATAGAAATACATATTAAACATCCATGACTGGAGTACAAATGCTCGTATTCATCACACAAACATCTGCCCCCACCGGGATTCGAACCCGGGACCTCTCGAGTCGGCGACACCATGAAACCCGGCGTACAAACCACTCGACCACGGAGGTCGTCATTATGAGTTATGTTGCTCCAAATAAATGTTTTTTTTTTAATACTCACTTGCTGCGTGAACCGTTTGGGGCACACTTCACACTGGTATGGTCTCAACTTGACGTGAGCCGCGCTCACGTGCTCCGATAGCTCTTTGCTAGCGTTGAAACCTACCCCGCATACCTGTTAGACATATAATTAATAAATAAATAAATATTTCCATCACACCTACCTGTTAGCCTAGCTCCAAGGTAAGCACTGTGAGCTCATTCCAAGGGCGGATCCAGGGGGGGGGGGTCATGGGGGTCATGACCCCCCCCCCCCCCTGGGCTAGGTACAGATGGACCAAACCCAGGGGGATTTTATTTAAGTACTTTCAACATTTAATATACCACGACTATATGACCCCCCCCCTGACGCCAAAGCTGGCTATATGACCCCCCCCCCCTGGCGCCAAAGCAGGCTATATGACCGCCCTGGCGCCAAAGCTGGCTAAATGACCCCCCTGGCGCCAAAGCTGGCTATATGACCCCCCCTGGCGCCAAAGCTGGCTATATGACCCCCCCTGGCGCCAAAGCTGGCTATATGACCCCCCTGGCGCCAAAGCTGGCTATATGACCCCCCCTGGCGCCAAAGCTGGCTATATGACCCCCCTGGCGCCAAAGCTGGCTATATGACCCCCCTGGCGCCAAAGCTGGCTATATGACCCCCCCTGGCGCCAAAGCTGGCTATATGACCCCCCTGGCGCCAAAGCTGGCTATATGACCCCCCCTGGCGCCAAAGCTGGCTATATGACCCCCCCCTGGCGCCAAAGCTGGCTATATGACCCCCCTGGCGCCAAAGCTGGCTATATGACCCCCCCCCTGGCGCCAAAGCTGGCTATATGACCCCCCCCTGGCGCCAAAGCTGGCTATATGATCCCCCTCCTGGCGCCAAAGCTGGATCCGCCCTTGACTCGTTCCCACTTGTCGGGTGTCGGATCCGTATATTAATCGGAGGTTCCAGTGGCAGAGCATTATATATGAAGCTATTCACACTTATCGGAAACCGATTTTGTGTCGGCTCCGACAAGTGTCGGGTGTTTTGCCAGCCCTCTACGCCCGGAAAAAAATCGTGTCGGATCTCGCTCGCCTATGATTAAGAACTAGCAAACCAGTGAACCAAATGTTCACCAAAATCTGATTTAAAAAAAAATATGTATTTAATTAATTGAGAACTTCGGAGATTTTGTGTGGTTTCGTCTGATATTCGTGATTTCTCGAAAACCGGAAGTGCTACGTTACTCAAATCCGGTTTGTAGTCTTATCAGAATATTCTTAACTTATAACTTAAATATTCTCTTTATCTATCTCTTCCGGTTTGGCCGCTGAAACAGCACCACAGACAGACGGACGGACGGACTTGTCTGATAGATAAGAGATGGCGCTGTTCATATTTGTCGGGGCTGACTGTCCTCCCCCGCTACCCCTTGTTCCGTCCATAACGCAACCCTTTTTCAGTAAAAATGCAGTCTCTAAGTCTTGTATTTTGGTATATTATATTCACTTATATTTCGTTACTTCTCAATTCTGTTATTAAGTTCTGAAATTTACCCAAAATCGAATCTTTCCCTCAGGAATATGTGCACTCAATATTTACTTTCCATGGCTGTCTTTCTTTGTTTTCTTAAACAATAATACAAGGGCGGATCCAGCTTTAGCGCCAGGGAGGGGGGGGGTCATATAGCCAGCTTTGGCGCCAGGGGGGGGTGGGTCATATAGTCGTGGTATATTAAATATTGAAAGTACTTAAATAAAATCCCCCTGGGTTTGGTCCATCTGTACCCAGCCCAGGGGGGGGGTCATGACCCCCATGCCCCCCCCCCCCCCCCTGCATCCGCCCTTGCAATAATAGGAACATCACAACAAGGACTTCGTCAACGTCCATCGTGAACAGTCGCCTCGCGTAGAGTGCCTAAAATTGATTAAAGCTTCGTCGTGACCGACAACCGATTTATTAATCGTGTGTGTGAACAAAGGCACCGACATCCGATTAATATACGGAGCCGACATCCGGCTAGTGGGAACCGGTGTGGCGGCGACATCTATATGCCCCACATATACAGGGTGTGACAAAAGTCCGAAATAAAAAATATAAATATAATTTTAATCAAAAAAATACTTAATGGAATTATTTGTAATATATATCATGGTATTTATAATTGTATAGTAAAGACCCTTATTTTAATTTAATTTAACTTTAATTTAGTCTTTTGTATAAATTGCATGCCATTTATGGTAAAATATGTAGAATCTATTTGTATACATGTCATCTTATTGTACCATATTTTTTGCAATAAATAAATCTAATCTAATCTAATAAAACTTTAGGGTTTGGTTGTGTTCCTTGTATAGAATTACCTACGAAAGTTTGACGCCTTTCAGACCACTTTAATTTCTAATTAAATTAATAAAAATATCGTTTTACACCTGCCTATGACAACCCTATAAATGCGTACGATTACTACTAACTAAACAGACCCCCCTCTCTCCCCCAGGCGCCCCTGCGCCCCGCTCAGATACCTACAAATTTTTATTTCGGAATACATACCTACAAATTTTATTTCGGAATTCTGTAACACCCTGTATACAACGGATGGAGGAAATCATTACTCACCATCCTCAAGAGATGGCGTTACCTGCACTGCGATCTTAATAGTATGGAAGCCTACATCGCGCAAATGAAATTCGGAGGCTAACTCTTCATATATACCATGCCCGACCAACATTAGTCGGGCCGCGGCCCCCGAGCTACCATCACCCAGCATATATGAAGTATATATGAAGAGTTAGCCTCCGAATTTCATTTGCGCGATGTAGGCTTCCATACTCTATTATGATCGCAGTGCAGGTAACGCCATCTCTTGAGGATGGTGAGTAATGATTTCCTCCATCCGTTGTATATATGTGGGGCATATAGATGTCGCCGCCACACCGACTCTAAGCGGTGTTGCCAGGTACGATTTTAAAAAATCGGGAGGCGATATAGAAAAAATCAGTGGATGTATAGAACAAAAAAACAGTAGATGCAGAGGCGATGGAGGAGCTCGATGGCGCAAGTGAATAGCGCGTTGAAGTTAAGCAACTTTCGCAGTGGTCGGTCATTGGATGGGTGACCAAAAATTTACTAACTCGAGCTCCTCCGTGCTTCGGAAGGCACGTTAAGCCGTTGGTCCCGGCTGCATCTGCAGTCGTTAGCACCCGCCAATCCGCACTGGGCCCACGTGGTGGGTCATAGCTCAATCTCCCTATATCATCCATAGGGAAGGCTTGTGCCCCAGCAGCGGGGACATTAATAGGCTGATGATGATGATGAAGTTTTATTGCTGGTTAATTTTTATTCCTTTTTTATTTTATCTTTTGCTGCTGAGTTTGTTTAAAAAGTGTGCAGAAATAAAATTTTAATCATAATAAAAGACAAAACACATATACAGGGTGTAAAAAAAACCTATGACAAAGACTTAAACTACGCATTCTGTACATCCAAACAAGTCATATTACAAAATATTATACGTGGGAAAATTTTGTATTTTTAAATAAAACTAATTTTTCACGGGTTAATGCGCGAAACTTTATTTATTTATTGACGTTTCCATTTATTAACCCGTGAAAAACTAGTTTTATTTAATGAATGATGTGCGTGAAAACCTAAGAAACAAATATTGTATTTTTAAGTTAAAAAAAATCATTTTTTTTCCAGTACGCAATGTATAGCGCGGCGAGCTACTGTGGCGCTACGCAAAGAATGAGCCTGTGTGTATGTGTGTGTGTGTGTCTAAGTGCGTCGATAAAAAAGTTTCTAAATAACGTTTTGAAAATTTTAATGTATAAATCTTGAAAAAAATTTTTTATACCTTTAATATCTCCATAACCATAAATTTGCCAGGTATGGTCCAGAAGAAAAAAAATATCGTCATGATGTGGAAAATACGTGGCCTTCGACTTCGTTATCGGTTTTTTTACACCCTGTATATAAACATCGTTATCAGTTTTTTTACACCCCGTATATAAACATATATATATATATATACTTACATCACACATATAAGGAAAAGGACTTTCACCTTCTGGAGACAATGGCTTTTCGCAAACCTGGCAACGCAAACCCTGTGTACAAAAATCTGAATTAATTAATTATTTCTGTATTATTTATTTTTTGAACAACATACCACTAGATGTTTAAATCTAAAAAAATAATTATTTAAATCTAAAGAAAATATAACTAGAAAAAATCCACGGGACTCGAACCCGCACCCTTCGCTATCCAATTATGCTAACGCGGCCCTGACGGCCGCGTCGAAATTCTTCTAGCCATACCTAGGCTGCAAGGCGAAAAAAAAAACTTTTTTAAACATCTAGCAGTTAAATGCTTAAAAATTAAAAAACATAACTATAATTGCTATTTCTTCTTTCAAATGTTTAATACTTGTAAAGGTATTCATTTCACATTGTGGGTTAATAATAATTTCGGTGTTGAGACCTTTGGTCAGTGGTGTCCTAGCCACTAGGCTTTTCTAGGAAATAGCAAAAAAGTTAGTCGACATCACAGGAGACCGAAGAGCTGACAGCTACCTCAGACAAAGAATTAGACTAGCTGTTCAAAGGGGGAACGCTGCCAGTATCTTCGGAACCTTGCCTAAAGGGACTCCTTTTAATAATATACCTTATTTTTCTATACATATAAATGAAATTGGAGTGTCTTTTTGTAATATTGAAATAACCGCTTTTTACTATATGCATATGAATATATATACGGTACATACACCAATATTTTCCGGCCCTGAGTTGAGCTTTAGCAAGACATAAGGACCAAATTGATTTTTATATATATAGACTAGTGGCCCGCCCTCGCTTCGCTTCGGTGTAGAGCTGTAGTGTAGAATTCCATTTTTTCTCACCTTTGAAACCATCCCAAGACCTCCACGATCATTTTAAGACCAAGATAAGATAAATCCGTTCAGCCCTTCTCGAGTTTTAGCGAGACTAACAAACAGCAATGAGGGCTATCGCGTATGAATCCGCCGCTAGAGGCGCTAGTGTAGCGTGAGGTCTCCGAAATGTCAAATGTTATTGCTTGTTGGTTGACTACGCGGGTTTATTTCTTATTAAAATAATGTTGTGAATAATTGGTAACAATTCGGCTTAATTATGGCAAATATGAGTTATGTGGCAATGAATGTCAGTTATTAAAAATTTGAGCTTAGAAAAATGATTATGTTCCCATTTTTTCCGAATAAAACGGAACTGGGCGTCACTGTGGCATGGCCTATTACGTTTAGGATATGGTTTTTTTTGTGTTAAAATACGATCTAAATGTAACCTTTGATTTCATGTGCGTATTAATAAACTTTAAAAGTTACAATTTAGGACCTCACTCAACAGTGGCGCCATCTGGTGGAACAGAAAACGGTAGCCCTCATTCATCTATATATTATATATATAGAAAGATATATATAGCTTCTTACCTTCCTTCTGCGCGTATGTTCGTCTCTATAGTGCGTGGAGTACTCGCAACAAGAAAAGAATATCCTGTGACAAGATCCACTTTCCACGCACTCGAAAGGACCGCTGCAACCAAAACAGTATTGCCTTCATCATCATCATCATCAGCCTATTAATGTCCCCACTGCTGGGCACAGGCCTTCCCTATGGATGGAATAGGGAGATTGGGCCATGACCCACCACGCGGGCCCAGTGCGGATTGACGAGTGCTAACGACTGCAGATGCAGCCGGGACCAACGGCTTAATGTGCCTTCCGAAGCGCGGAGGAACTCGAGATAGAAGATTTTCACTCACCCATCCAATGACCGCCAACTGAGAGAGTTGCTTAACTTCAACGCGATCAATCTTGTATTATACAATTTCTCATTCTTTTAATAATTTCTCTGCCTGTCAATTAACTTCGCGTGATGTAAACAAGAACACAGCAAAACAACTCTACCCTATGGTGGTGTGTTTCTGTCGGTGAGTAAGGTAAGGTCCCAGGGTTCCACGGGGTAGGGAATTGTGTCAGCATGTGATATTCGCAAGCGTCTATAAGCTACGGTGGCCACTTACCATCAGGCGGGCCATAAGCTTGTTTGCCACAGTTTTAACATAAAAAAATATACATACGTTATAACCTGCGGTTCCTTTGACCTCTTAGCGGGCACATCCTTAATAGGTTTATCTACTTTAACTAGCCTCTTCCTCTTCCTATCCCCGATGTCTAGGTCTCCGTCTTTTATTATTATGTAGTCGACATTCGGAGAAGCCAGCGAGGTAATTTTTCCTTCAGCCATAGACGATAGGAATTCCTTCGTCTTTCCTTCAATACTTTGGTCTTCCACCTTTTGCAATTTTCCCTTTGTAGTCTTGGTGTCTTGTTGTTTCTGTACAAAAGATTTTTTGTCACTATATTATTTGACTAGGGCTCTAGTGTACGCAGGATTTCAAGGTGTCACTTACTCAGAGGTCCCGGGTTGAATCCTGAATGAAGGAAGACTGAGCATTTGTATCAAGTAATGGATATATGCTTATGTATCAGTTTATGTATTCTATCCATTACCACATCTTTTTCTATATACAGTGTAAACTCTTCATAATGACACTAAAGGGACTGTACATTTTATGGCGTTATAGAGAGTTGTCCTTAAATGGAAAGTAGAAAAATCAGAAAATGAAAAGAAAAAGCTTATTTCAAGCTAGTAGTTATGTACAGGAAAAAATAATCTTATTTGAATGCTATTGCGTATATTCTGTTATTTTTCTCTGCCGTCTTTTGCTGCACCAGTAATTTTGTTGTATTATATTTTTTTAGTCATTGTCAACAACAGTCTACACATGCAATCCCATTTTGTAAACAAAAGAAAGATTTTCTTAGAAAGTTGCATGATGCCGACAGTCGAGTTTATTACACTTTTTTTACTTAATTGTTGATGTTATTGAGAGTGGGTGTAATGCTATTTGGAGTGTATCATTGTATGGAAAACAAACTAAACCAACCAAACACAAGTGATTTCGATGCTTTAGGGAGTTTGTCGTTAAATCAAGTGTTACATGGAGTTTACACTGTATGTATTTGATCATAGCGTATGAAATATTTAGAAATAAAAGTTTTATATGGAGAATATTTCTAGTATTTTTATAAATAATAGAAATGGTCTCTTATATTGTCCAAACACTCAACTGGGTAGTAAAGAAAAAATATGGATGATTGAAAAGAATTGTAATGTGTATTGATTTTATGACTTTTGACTTAATAGTACATCAATTCAATAAAGAATCAGTGGAGTAAGACTCTTGCTAAATCCACTCGTGTTAAAGACAGATGGATAAAGTAGAAGACAGATATAATAACATTTTTTTTTTGAGAGAAGATATTGTTTACAGATAAAATTGAACAATAAATTTCATCACTACTTTTTTTGTTTAACTCTTTTGTATGCATATGATTTTATTTTTTATTCATATTTGTTACATCGGTCCCCACAGCATGCCCACCTCAATTTGCATTCTCACATTTTTTATCATGTCTCACTGTTAAACTCCACAGTAATTTGACAATTAAGTGTGATAAAACCTAGTTATATATCATATTGCGGCACTCATGCCAAAGGGGGCAGTATTATTATTATTTACATTGGGTATGTAACTCCATGTTTCTCCGAGTTGGCCTTGTGATGCCCCGAGTTGGCCTTGTGATGTGGGACATGCCCATGCATTTGCCACAGCATACACAAACAATAACTTTAAAAACAATCCAACCAAAAAAAGGAACAACGTTCTCTGGGATAGCTACTTAAATATAGGAATAAATAATACATACCCCACCAAATGGGTCTGTCCATTCGCTCGGGTCTCCGGTAGCAAATGCCTCGTAGTGCTCCATCATGGCGTGGTTTCGGAGCGCCATCGGACTCACGAAGCGCTTGCTACATATCTTGCAGCAATGTACTTCTTCATCGTCTTCACTCAATATCTCTTCCTGTGTAACAAGTTTGTTATATGTCAAGAACAAATTACGAAAATTGTTACAGCTCAACAGTTGATTTTGGTATTTTATTATCAGCTTAAATTTTTGTGCAATGTTGATAACAAAGATTGTACTGACAATTTTCTACATAATTATTACCTTTATGACGACTTTGGGAAGAGGTATCGTATTGACAAACCTCACACGTTGTCCAGACATCTTCAGAAACCCTGTAAACCAGAAAGTTACAAAATCTTCAAGAAACTTGTGGCAGTACTTATCATACAGAACGAAAACCAAGTCATATTAAGACTTAATATCAGATTGTGATTAATAGCGAGTAAGACATTAATAATTTAATCTAACAAAAGGTTACATTAGATAGGTATGTAAAATTAATTTAAAATAAAAGCTCCTAAAGCGCGAAAACGAAACAAACGATTGTCAAAACTAACTTTTTATTTATAAAAAAAAATAAGCCCTGGCGTTGGAATCAACCTTTAATAGCAGAAACAGTTATGACGCTACACCGTTTATCGATTTCTAGGACGACGCCATTTCGTGACTTAGCTTCTTATTCATCATATTATCTAATATTAATAGCAATTTCGTAATTTAAATAAACATTTTATGCAAAGAAATCAAATTACCTTTTAATTTTTTCGACAAGTTTGACGTTTGTTTTTTTTTAATTAAAAAAAAGAATATAAAAAAAGAAAAAATTAAAAAGTTATGTTTTTTTTTCAAAAATGTGTCAAATCGTTGATGACGTTTTAAATACTCGCCGAAAAGAATTTAACTTAACTGATTCTGACAAAAGATAGCAGAATAATACGTTAAATACCAATACAGTAGTTCTAAACACACGCCGACGCCATTTCGTAATGGGTGTGGTTCTATTTTTAGTATTTTTCTTACAGTCAAGTCCTTCTATAGACGTCGAGTAGATATGAACAGAAATCTGTTTTAGGTCATGGCAATAAAGTTCGAATTCTAATGCAATCTTACTATAAGTCAAGAACCATAGAGAAGTAGAACAGTACAGATTAAATACTTTCTGAAAAATGTTACCATAGGAAAAACAGAGGATATGAAGTCTATACAGCCTTAACTTCAATATTATTACTTCTATTTGTTTGGATTCAATTTTGTAGACCCGTTTTCTGTAAATACGTGGGTATTTTAGTTTATTAAAATCTTAATCAGAGAATAAAACCTAACCCTGCATTTAAAAATTATTCAAATTTGTTTGTTCGATATGCGTTAGCAACGGTTATCTTAAGGTTTGTTTTGTAATCATGGCAGCACCAAAAGCCACTACGATAAAGGAGGCGATCAAACGATGGGAAGATAAGACTGGTCAGTCAGCAGCCACTGCTACAGAAGTAAGCTTGATATTTCAGTGGCCACCTATTGAGAAAATGGACAACAGCTTGGCAGCACTTACGAACTGCGAGTAGGTATATTAAAATAACTATTCGTGGTATAACCTAAAGCTTTAGCAGCGGAGAGTGGAGGTAAAGGCTGATTCGTCAGTGATCAACAGTGAAAATTCAAAATTTTATTGACTATGCCCTTAGATTAAAACAAAAAGAGAAGATACGGCACTCGCGGCTCAAAAGTGATCCGCTAAACTTGTGGTGCATGACCACAATTTGCATTAGTCACAATTGGACATTCAAATACGCTACTTGTGCACTCAATATAACAATATTGCGTATATTCTGTGTTATAAAGATAAAACAATGCCTTCGATGCTTTTATAAAGAACATAAATAGTTCAAAATCAAATAACAAATGCCTCGACAACACTTCATTCGTGAAACTATAAAATATTTTTTTTCAGAGTTATTTACGTAATCGCCATTTTGTTATCAAAAAAAGGACAACAATACAGCTCAGCCGTACGGACTCGGAAGCAAACACACTGTTTCGCTCGCGCTGCGTTGAAACGTACAGTTCTGTCCCGCTCGCTCAATTGAATGTTTTTGTACAGACGTGTGCGTGTGTGAGAGTTGCTTATGTAGTTGAGTCGGATCATATTTTATTTTATCCTAGTATGAACGTACCATATCTTCCCTTTTGTTTTATTTTAAGACTTTGCTCCATTTTAAACTGCTAAGTTTGAATGGGCTATTTGGTAACGTAACTTATAATCATACAAACAATGTCACTCATCATTTCTTATTAGTTTTACACAAATAAAATGTTATTGGGACCGTTTCAGACATGAATATCAAAAATTAAATATGAGAGCAGCCTGACTTAGGCCAGACTCGGCAGGTTCTCTACTGAATGAAAAGTAGAGACTGCTATTTAATTTAAGTTTATGAAATCATGCCTTCGCCTTAAATTTTCAGAAAGTTAAGCTTATCAACAAATATGATTGAGAAAGTTACTGGAATCAATAGTTTGAAGAAACTCCGAATTCTCTCCTTAGGAAGGAACTACATCAAGTCATTCGCTGGCATGGTAAGCTAAAACTTCAGCGTTCATAATATAAACAATTGGAGGCCAAACACCAAACCTTGGGTAACTCCTTCGTACTATAAAAATGCCTCTAGTCTATTAATTATTCTTTTATTTACTTTATAGGACTTAGAAACAAAATCCATATTCTGTTCCGGTTTTATTCCGTTGAACCAATTCATATTAAGAAGGCGTCAGCGGAACTAATCTATAGATCTAGAACATAATAGTTAATTTAATACAGTAAGATAAAAAACAGCTCTTGCTGATTCTTCTCAGTAAGTTTTCCACTGACTATGCACTGATAATGGTTTTCCTAAAGAGCTTGTAACAGTCTAAATGAAATAATACCTATACAATTTAAATATTAGAGTCAATTGTTTTGGGAGATCATCATCTATTATTGTGATTTTCTAGGAATCTGTGGGTGACACCTTGGAAGAGTTGTGGATTTCCTACAATTTATTGGAAAAGCTGAAAGGGATACACGTGCTGAGAAATTTGCGAGTATTATACATGAGCAACAACTTAGTGAAAGAATGGAGCGAATTCAATAAACTTCAGGTAGGTATTGATGTCGACTCTAGCATGATTCTCTAAACCTAAACTTAAATTTGACAACAGTATAATTCTCGAAACTTAAAACTAAAATTATCATCAGTCCCTCCTTTTCATTCTTTATAGAGAATGACAAGGATACAGTGGTGTCAATTCTGGCGTGATTCTCTAAACTTAAAGCTAAATTTAAGGTCAGTCTCACCTTTTCATTCTGTATAGAGAAGGACAAGGATGCACTGTTGTCAAATTTAAGTTTAGCTTTAAAGAATCATGCCAGAATCGATATCACTGTTGTCAAATTTAAGTTTAGGTTTAGAGAATCATGCCAGAATCGACACCTATAAATACTTACATTCTGTATAAAGTTTTACCAAATAGCAACTTAACAAACAGATGTGTATTCGTATTGGCTATTTGTCTTTAGTCTCTCATTTTTCATGGCCTGTAGAACATTACAAAGAGACTACTGTCAATGATACAAACAAAATAGTAAAATCCAGTGCGACCAAAACCTCGTGGCACTAACATGACATTGACAGGAGGGGTGAAATGAGGATTACTAGTTAGGTAAAATTTCCTCACAAAAGGGAACGTTATAATTTATAATAACTCGGCGAGAGTAATACGAAACAAAAAATTCTTATTTACACCTCCCCATATCTATACATACACACATATATATTAAATTGAAGTATCTGTTTGTAATATTGAAATAACCGCTTTTTACTACATGCATATGAATATATATACAGTACCTTTACGGTACATACACCATTTTTTTTTTTAATTTTTGTCTGTGTGTTCCGGCTAATCTCTGAAATAGCTGGACCGATTTTGACGAGACTTTTATTGGCAGGTAGCTGATGTAATAATGGGTAACTTTGGCTACTTTTTTTGTAGAAACGATCTTTTATTTTAGAAAATTATAACTAAAAGTTAGCGCGGACGAAGTCGCGGGCGACCGCTAGTACATAAATAAAAGGCTTATTTATGTTTTCTTAAATTTAGTTCCGATTTCTGCCGCGCAACACACGATCTTGATATCTTTATATGAATAACAGCATAACGTTTAAGGAGTTGCCTCATCTCGAGGACTTATTGTTCGTCGGGAACCCGCTATACGACGCGTGTGAGCTGGAAGCGTGGAGGTCGGAAGCAGCACGAAGATTACCAGGGCTGAAGAAACTGGATGGAGAGACCGTGCTGAGAGAGGACGACCCACCATTGACGGTCGCCGATATGCAGGTAGATTTGAATGAATGAATATTAGACAGCGGCAGACTATGGATGTATTCCTAAATATACATCAGTATCGAATCCGACGCCATATTGTACTGGTATGCTACCATATTTTTACCGGGAAAACGAATATGACGTATGTCCGAGCGTGCGTGGGAACTATTCAAATTTTATTTCTTTTTTATTTAAAGAACAATAACGGCATCCGAACAAAAAAAAATCCTTTTAATTGATGAGGTAAACAAAAAATCTTCGTTATTCGCAATGTTTTTTAATATTTCGTCGATTTATGACGTCAGTGCACTGACCAGTATATTTCGGAACAATTCATCAGTATAGCGTCGATTCATGACGTCATTAGCACTGGCTAGTATACTGGTATATATTAAGGAATATACACTATGGCACGACACGGCCTGGGGGGCAATCGGCTAACGGAATTTCTATAAGCGACAATGCAACAGATTAAATTTAGTTTAAAAAGCACTTTTAAAACAGAATATCTTTTTAAAGACGGATGTTGCTCTCCAATCTTGACTTCAAAAACATGCAGCGTATTGAAACCTATTTTAAAATTATCAGTTTACTAAGGTTTTATCGGTACACGGTACACCTACCGTTCCAATAACTTGATTCATAAAACCATCGATAAATTTCTTAATCTGGATGTTTCTGTGGTTTTTGCCACCAGGTAACGGATAGAATACATATGCAGTGTACATATAAAGTATATTTATACAGAAACACATATTAAAAAACATCCATGACTGGAGTACAAATCGCACGCTTAAAGAAATACTGACCTATTAGTACTTAAGACATACAGACAAAAAGTTGTCCTAAAGCCATCTATATTATTCTATTCACATAGCTTCATAAATATCGCTGTCATTGACACCTTACTTTAAAATTAGACCTAATAAACAAAAAAATGTGCAAACACCTCAATATTGTACGTTATTCAACGTTGAACTAAGTACTAATAGGTCAGTATTCGTTTAAGCGTGCGAAATGCTCATGTTCATCACACAAACATCTGCCCCCACCGGGATTCGAACCCGGGACCTCTCGAGTCGGCGACACCATGAAACCCAGCGTACAAACCACTCGGCCACGGAGGTCGTCAAAACATTGTTAAAAAATCGGTATTAATGTGTTTTTAATACTTTTTTCAGCCCGACGGTGGCGACGCCGTAGAGACATTAGTGAGCGCTGAAACCAACGACTAAAGAGTTCGGACGCCATAAACCAAAACAACAACATTCTAGAAAAAAATATCTTTTATTTCTCCTTGTTTGTTCCTTACAACTAATCAATAACACTATTATTTATTGTACATCTTCATAGAAGGCAATTCTTAACTTAATTATTACATTATTTTAATTAAACTTAATATTTATTTATAATAGGTATAGTGTCATGCAAGAACCATCTCTAATACTTATAAAAAAAAGTCTAATTTCATTGAAGGTCTCGACTAGAGTTAAGTCATAAGATTAAAGAAAATTAAAGTAAGCAATATATTTTATACGAAAGGATGATTTTGCATAACCTACTACATATTTATAGTTTTTCCTTACGGTGCTTGTTTGTAGGCTTGGGTAAAATAACGATATATCAAAATATCGATATTTATCAGAAAATAATCGATATTTATCGTCGATAATTTCAAACTAAAAATATCGATAATTATTTTAGTGTATCAAATTTGTAATAATTTAGATAACTGCTTTTAAGAGATTAATACCTTAAAAAATGCATCAAATCTACTAATGTAGAGTATGCACATCAATATTTTTACATTACATAAATCGATATATTTTGAAAACATTCATACGTTAAATATCGATATATTTTTTTCGTTTGCCCATCCCTAGGTGCTTGGCATACCTTGAACTACAAAGCAAAATATTTTAGTACACATTTCCCATTATCTCATAGAAATTACTCAGGGACAACACAATTCTTGTTTATAATATGTTTCATATTGAGTCACAGCAGGTACAGAAGTAATAAAAGTCTACAGTAATAAATGATGCGGAGAAGATTCCACGAGCTTAAAAAAATATTCATCAACATCACTCATTAAATAAAACTAGTTTTTACGAGTTAATGCACGAAACTTTATTTATTTATTGATGTTTCGTAGCCTTTACAGGCTTTGTCGTCAGAATAAAAATTCATAAGATTAATTTATTCTGACGACGAAGTCTGTAAAGGCTACGAAACGTCAATAAATAAATAAAGTTTCGTGCATTAACCCGTAAAAACTAGTTTTATTTATATTCATCAACTTTACACCAGTGTGTCCTTTTCATTCCTTGTATAAAATGATAAGGACAGACAGTTGTCGAGTTTACAAATGAGGAACTGGCGTACATAACGGTATAATTACGCATCTGGTCAAACATTTTTTTGGAGTTTACTCCTTAAGAATCGATTTGCATATATAAGGGGCCCGGTATGAGAAAAATTTGAGGAGTGAAATCTATCGATGAATGACCTCGTTACGTTTTTACTGACTACGCTGTAGCAGCCGTAGTGCTACAACGTAGCACAGTATCGTAGCGTACCTTTATTTATGCACATCTGAAATTGACTATTATAAAAAGTTTAATGTAAAATATTTCGTCGATTAGTTATAATAAATGTATAGAAATGAATAAATATATATTTATATAAGTGCATTATTTTCATTAATTTGTTAATTTACCCTTTGATACAGTATTTTTAAGTTAAATAAATTCTTTTTGCGTCTGGTTAGACTATCGAACTTAAGAAGTAAACTCCAGTCGTGCGTCGGAGCTGACACACACAATTTTTTTTACAGATTAGATTAGATTTCCCCAGTGATGGCTCCCTCAGGATTTGGCCAATATCTGGTGTTTGTGTCCAAAATTTCTTGTCTAGGTTTGTTCGGTGAGGGCTTGTTTATTGTCTTAAACTCTGCTTATGGTGTAGAAGGGCTTTGTGCAAGTACACGGACCTAGGATTTGGGAAAAGAATAGGGAAAAACAGAAAGGAAAGGTCCGGAGGTTACGGGCACGTTGAATTTGAATTTCAAATATTTTCAATGAACATCACTAAAACAATGTTAACATTATTCAATTTATAAATTAAAAACCATGCCAAAACCCTCCTGTAGGTATGTCATTCAGTTTTATACAGCATTAATTTAATTTTATGTAATTATATCGTTTTGTTCACCAGCTCCTCTCAAATAGCAAATACTAATAGCGAAGTGAAGTGCCAGCATAAATACATTTCCTACAAATACTTAGAAGACAAAAGACTCAGCAGAGCAGAGAAGATACCACAGAAAATATTGTTAAATAAAATAAAAATGCTACCGTGCTTTTAGGGGTCAACCATTTAGTAAGTCACACAAATTTTGTGTTTTGGTGAAAAAAAATCTTGTCACAGTTGGTCACATTTGCGAGTCCCGTCCATCCTTAATGTGACGCTATTTATGCTTTATTATTATCCTTATTGACATTTTTTGCTATTTTGCATCTAGAAATTATTAAATAAAAACAGCAGTTCCGCAAATTAGTCAACCCAGCAAAACCCATACAGGTAGAATTTCAAGTATTTTAAAGTTTTATTGATAAAATTTTTTAGTACTAATAATAATACTAACCTTTATTTATCACCATAATCTTCTCAATGTTCATAATATTGGTATTAATGGTTACATAAAAACAATGATACAAAAACATGCAATTTTTTTACCAAAAATAATAGGTACGTACTGATCAGATTATGATGGGTTGACACCTGAACTAGGATGAATATGTCTCAGGTAATCAACCCTCCAACATATTCATAAAGTTATGTACCATTTATTAAACAATTTATTAATCCAGATAACTGTTCTTAAGATATAAATTCAATGAAATAATAGCTAAAGCAGTTTGTTGTGTGTGTGTGTGTGTGTGTGTGTGTGTGTGTGTGTATTCCTATTCATAAAGTTATGTACCATTTATTAATCCAGATAACTGTTCTTAAGATATAAATTCAATGAAATAATAGCTAAAGCAGTTTGTTTGTAACAAAACCAAAAGTAATAAATCTACATTGTTCTCTTTTGCGTCATCTCTCAGTAAATGCCACCGCCGGGGTTCGAACACGGGACATTTAGTGTCCATTGTATAATGTTGTCCTTATAAAATGTGTTCTCAACAACATATGTAATACTTTGTAAGTATGTCTAAGGGTACTAGGGTATTTGACAGTATCTATACATATAATAAAATGGTAGCAAAGTCAAAACTCTACATTTGACTTTTTTTTAAAAGAATACAATCGATACCGAAGCCAAAAATATAGTTTTTAGAATTTTTGTCTGTTTGTCTGTATGAATGTCCGGGATAAATTCAAAAAGTAGTGCATGGATTTGCTTCAAATTTGGCACGAATATTATTAAGAAGTCGGGTCAACATATAGGCTACATATTATCACGCTATCACCTACGGGGAACGAGCAGTGAACCTTTATTTCTAACTAACTCCACGCGTACGAAGTCGCGGGCGGCAGCTAGTTCAAAATAAAGTGTCAATTGTTGGCATCTTTATTAAGATTGAACATTGGCCGCGGTTTTATTTATTTATACTTTATAGCAAAACAAACAGCAAATGGCGGACATAATGCCATAAGGCATTCTCTACCAGTCGACCAGTAAAAGCGTGAGAAATAAAAATACGGGGGTGCAATAAGGAAATATGCTAAATAAACCAGGTAAGTAATATATATATATCAATAGAATACACAAATATTAAAATATATATACAATTTAAACAGAAAAATATTGGTAATTTTACAAAAAAAACCACATAAAGGAAATTGGTAGTTTTTCCATCGAAATTATCACGTGACAGAAAACGCCCGAGATCGGCGGGGGCCCTAAAATGACGTCACACATAGGTAAACTTCCGGCCAGTGACATTAGTTGTACCGTTTGACGTTTGAACGGCAGCCGTGTGACGTCACACATAGGTAAACACGCCATATTACCCAGAGAAACGTTTCAGCGGCATACAGAGAGAAAGAAAGAATTTATAGCATGTCTGAAAGTAACATTTTTCATAATTTCTTTACTCAAATACTCAAAAGGATGGTAAATAACTACTTCTTATAGATCTTAAGAAAAGTTTACTAGAAAACATTCCACGCGGACCAGACAGCGGACGGGACTCGAACCCGCACCCCTCGCTATCCGGGCGAATGCACTGACCATTATGCTACCGCGGCCCTGACGGCCGTGTCAAATTTTCTCTAGCCTTTTTTTTATAGAGTTCATACGCACTAGTAAATAACCTTAGATCGTTTTCAAATCGTTGTCAAATACCCTATTTTGTATGAAACATAGTTTGTAAGTGTTATGTATTGTAAGTTACATATATATTCTTCTCAAATGTTGAGCCGATGTGATGGCATTGCACTGAGGGCATATTTTCTTAGCTTTCAGTGATTGGAGCCAACAAACCTGGAAAATGTCAAACTTATATTTAATTTTCTTCCTATTTAATATGCGGGGTTAATTTTAAAACACCAACAACCTCTTATGGGGTGATTCTACCCATCGACAGGAACAACTTTTATTATGGGACCATTATTCTACGGCCTGGGTTCCGAACCTGGGGGTAATTACCCCTCCGGGGGTAAAAAAGCCATAAATCGGGGGTAACAAAGAACCAAATTACTTGATCAAATTTAAATAATAAGAAAATACTAAAGAAAATATAACTAGAAAAAAAATCCACGCGGACCAGGCAGCAGACGGGACTCGAACCAGCACCCTTCGCAATCGCAAATTATGCTACCGCGGCCCTCACGGACCGCGTTGAAATTCTTCTAGCCATTCTTAAGCTGCAAGGCAGCGCCATCTCTTCGCATTATAGGTAACCCACAATAGCATAATTGGTCAGTGCATTCAGGGTCCGAGTCCCGTCTGCTGCCTGGTTCTCGTGGATTTTTGAAGTGAAACTTCTTTATCGGCGTTGGAAAAAAATTTACCGTCAAATTTTTTTCGGTTACGCGGCACGTTTTTTGGTTACGCGCCATCTTTTTTTTAAAAGAGCACTATTTACCTCATCCGAACAATTGCTTCTTCTGTCAACTTTAAAAAAAAAAAGTATCGACAGCAAATATTCGTGTTTCACACAAGGTAAGGTAAGGTAAGGTAAGGTAAGGTAAGGTAAGGTAAGGTAAGGTAAGGTAAGGTAAGGTAAGGTAAGGTAAGGTAAGGTAAGGTAAGGTAAGGTAAGGTAAGGTAAGGTGTAGTTATACCCCTTTAGTGGGCGAGTTTTTGAAAAATCTTAGCGCACGCCTATATATATATTTCTGGAAAGTTGGATGTAGATCATTTTTCGAAAAAAATAAGGCCATAAAGAAGTTTCACTTCTTACGTGTGTACACTAGTACACGCACACATTTTTTTTACTAGTTATATTTTCTTTAGATTTAAACATCAAGCAGTTACATGCTTTAACCGACGACGACGACGACCTCCGTGGCCGAGTGGTTTGTACGCCGGGTTTCATGGCTGTCGCCGACTCGACAGGTCCCGGGTTCGAATCCCGGTGGGGGCAGATGTTTGTGTGATGAATACGAGCATTTGTACTCCAGTCATGGATGTTTAATATGTATTTATATAAATATAGTTATATATGTACAGTATATGTATTCTATCCGTTACCCTATTATCCCATAACACAAGCCTTATAGTGCTTACTTTGGGGCTAGGCTAATTGGTGTGAGTGTCGGTAATATTTATTTATTTATTTATATTTATTTAAAATTAATAAAAATTGTAAGAAAATACTATATAATAATACTAATAAATAGAGCATGCGCTCCTTCTTGCTAGCGAGCCCGCGGGGTCCTGATTGTGGGAAGCGGGGCGGTATTTTCTCCTGATGATGACATTATAAGAGACGAAGATGTAGCGGCCAAAATGGAATTTCTTGGACTGATGATAACATTTTAAATTCGGGGTAAAATCTGTTTTCCTAATAGGTTACAGGGGTAGTCGTATTGGAAAGGTTAGGATGGGACCAACGCTGAAATCACGAAATAAAAATCTGTTCAGACAGCGGACGGGACTCGAACCCACATCCTTCGCTATCCGGGCGAATGCACTGACCATTATGCTACCACGACCCTATTAGCCGCGTCGAAATTTTCCTAGCCTTAAGCTGCAAGGCAGCGCCATCTCCTCGCATTGTAGTTGTTAAATATATGTAATTTAAAGTAAAAGTTTTTAAAATAAAACCATTACATTTTGAGTTATCTCTGTCAAGTGACAAAATATATTTTTTTATAAAAGACATGACAATTAAAAAAGTTTCTAATACAACATCCTTCTTCTTTAATAACAAAAAAAATCTTTTTTTTTTTATATCAACAGAAAAATATTTATAACACAACACACTCAAAACTTACAATAAAACTATTTATAAGTAAAACCAAATCGATCAGGCGGGCGACTTACACGACCTGATGAAGTTACCAAATATCCATCTGAATTTCTATTCATCAATGGCCTACTTCCGGCCTGCTCTGGTGGTAAATTATTTACACTATGAGGAACGTCAATATCATCCGGAATATAAAAAGGAACAAACGCTAAAGGTTTGATATATATTCTATTACGGATAAAGTGAACACCATTAGAAATAATTTTGTAAGTTCGTTTATCCAATGCACATATGATTACACCATTTCTCCATTGTTTCCCAATTTTAAAAATAACTTTTTCTCCCCTTACTAGTGGCCTTAAGTCTTTCTTATTTCTATCATAATATACTTTACTTTTATATTGTTTCTGTTCTAAATTGGATCTTAAATTATCAAAGATTTTTGGATTCAAACTATTTGAAGACAAAGGCAGAATACCTCTTATCTTTCTGTTGAAGAAAATTTGAGCAGGTGAAGGGATTTCAAGAGATATAGGAGTGTTCCTTAACTCTAACATGACTAAATATGGGTCCTTCTTTTCATAAAAAGCTTTTTTAAGTAAGTTCTTGACAGTTTGAATTGTCCGTTCCACCATACCATTGGATTGAGGATACTCAGGACTAGAAAATTTATGGTCAATATTCCATTCTTTGCAAAATGAATGAAATTTTTCACTAGAAAACTGAGGACCGCCATCACTAACGAATATTTCAGGAATTCCATTACGACTAAAAATTTGTTTTAAATGATTAATAACAGCTTCACTTGTCGTGCTATTTAATAAAGATATTTCCGGATATTTGGAATAATAATCAACAATTAGTAAATACATTTTACCATTCAGTTCAAATAAATCACCTGCAACTTTTTGCCAAGCATAATGTGGGACAGCATGTGGTATCAGTGTCTCCTGCCTATTATTATTACTATGAAGTTTACAGATATTACAAGAAGAAACCAAATTATTAATGTCATTGTATATGCCTGGCCAATAGAGACAGTCTCTTGCCCTCAACAGCGTTTTTGTAATACCCAGATGCGGAAAATGTAAACGTTTTAGCATTTCTCGCCTCAGTCCAAACGGAATAACAATACTATTACCTTTAAATATAATATCTGATTTAAAGGTCAAATCATTTCTAACGGGCCAATATTTTCTAACTATACTCGGTATTGAATTTTTGTGAGATGGCCAACCCTGAGATATATATTTTTTAACAAGAATCAATTCACTGTCTTCCATTGTCATTTGTTTAATATAATTTAACTGTGATTCTGACGCATTAATACTACTTACAATAAAATCAATCTGTGCCTCAATCTCGTCAGTATCCAAATCGATTTCTAAAAAATCATTGTCATCATAAGATCTCGACAAAGTGTCAGCCAAATACAATTCCCTGCCACGCTTGTAAATTAATTCAAAGTCATATTTTTGCAACTTAAGTAACATTCGCTGAATACGTGCAGTACATGCGTTTAATGGTTTTTTAACAATAGAAATCAGTGGGGAATGGTCCGTTTCAATAGTTACTTTTCTACCAAATATAAACTGATTAAACCTTTCACAAGCAAATAGGATAGCGAGTAGCTCTTTCTCAATTTGAGCATACCTCTTTTGACAGTCATTTAAAGCTTTAGAAGCATATGAAACAGGAAGGTTATTTTGGAGTAGAACTGCTCCAAGGCCATCTTTTGAAGCATCAACGGACAGTATAACAGGAAGATCTTCATTAAAAAACTGAAGAACTGGCTCCGAGGCCAGCTTTTTCTTCAAAGCTTGGAAAATCTTTTCGTGGTTTTCCAACCAATTAAATTCACAATGTTTTTTCAAAAGATTTCTTAGAGGAGCACTTAAATCAGCAAAGTTAGGAATAAATTTTGAAACGTAATTGATAACACCTAAAAATCTTTCTAGTTCTTTCCTGTCTCGAGGGCTTTTCATTGCAACGATTGACCTAATCTTTCCTTCATCAAGTTTTAATCCTCCTTTACTAATTATATGGCCCAAGTACTTAACTTCAGCTAAATTTAATTTACATTTATCTTTATTCAATTTAATATTTTCTTGTCTTAATCGGGCCAAAACTGAACGCAAACGTCTATCATGCTCCACCTGATTTTTCCCCCAAACCAAAACATCATCGATAAAGACTTCTGTCCCTTCTAAATTTTCCAATACTTCTCTCATTCTTTGTTGAAAAACTTCCGAAGCGCTACACAAACCAAACGGCATTCTCAAAAATTTGTACCTACCAAACGGAGTATTAAAACAACAAAGGTCAGAACTAGCTGCTGATAATTTGATATTCCAAAAGCCATTTTTAACATCCAGTGTGCTAAAAACAGTAGCGCCTGCTAATTTACTTGTTATTTCCTCAAACGTGGGTAAGCTAAAATGTTGCCTCATAATCACTTGATTAAGATCTTTCGGATCTACACACAGTCTCAGATCACCGTTCGGTTTGTAAACAATCACTAACGAATTCACCCATTCAGTTGGATGTGTCACTTTCATAATTACATTCTGTCGTTCCATTTCATTCAGCTTTTCTTTTAATCGAGATTTTATACTTATGGGTACTTTTCTACAGGCATGTATGACAGGCACCGAATTTTCTTTTATTTTAATATCATACTCTCCTCTAATGCAACCTAAACCTTCAAAAACATCTTTGAATTCTTGAAAAATATCTACTTTTTTCTCTATTTCACGCAAAGGTTTTACAAGTTCCATGTCAATGGCCGATTTAAGTCCTAATATATTAGTATAGCGTCCAGAAACAACATAAAAGTTAAGATAAAATATTCTGTCATTGTACTTACACGAAAGAGAGCATCGACCTAGGCACGGAATGCATTCGCCCGTATATGTGGTGAGCTTAGTATTAACTGATATTAAGTTATTTTTATCTATACCAAGGAAAAATAATGAATCGTCAGATAAAATATTCGCCTGTGCACCTGTGTCCACTTTAACCTGCAAAGGAAAATTATTAATTTCTAAAGTAATACACCAATCATTTGAGTTGACAACAGCGTTGATAAAAATCGCACCTAAAAATAGCATATCGATTTCATTACATTCATCATCGTTTTCTTTTATTTCGCTAATGCTTCTGCATTTTGTAGAAAAATGATTTCGTTTTCCACATTTTAAACAGTTTTTTCCAAAAGCCGGACATTTATATCTGTCATGAGAATAACCACAATTCTTACAAATAAATCCATTTCGTTTCTTTTGCTGCTGTGACGTAGAGTGACGTTTTATATCCACATGTGTGTTAACTGCAGAGGTTGATGGATAAATATTCTCTTTAGTGTTGTTGCGAACCATATTCAAACTTTTTTCATCACTTTTGTCAATTTGTGATAAAAAATTATGCAATCCCGAATAACACGCACTTGGAGACGTAATGGCTTCAACCTGCTGCTTTGTTCGTTGAGAAGTGCAACATATTTCTAGCGCTCTAGACAATGTCAATTCCTTCGTACGTAGAAGACGATCTTTCACAGCTACGTCTAAAATTCCACATACAATCCTGTCTTTTATTAAACTCTCAGTTAGTGGTCCAAACTCACAAGATGCACTTAAGTCACGCAATTCCATTACATAGTTTTCATATGTCTCCTCTTCTTTTTGATTCCGGGTAAAAAACAAAAATCGTTCGTATGTCACATTTTTATCTGGGCAGAAATGTTCATCAAATTTTTCAATTACTTTATTAAAATTCCTTTTGTCGTCGATTTTTTCGAATGTTAAAGTGTTGTACAGTTTCAATGCTCGATCACCTACAGCACTTAGTAGCAAAGCTGTTTTTATCGCATCATCACTTACGCTGTTTCCTGATGCCAGCAGATATATTTCGAACTTTTGCTTGAAAAACATCCAATTTTCAGATAAATTACCTTCCCAAGATAATTGGGAAGGAAGTGCTATATGCGGGAATTGATTTAATGTTTTCCTTTCTTCGGCTAGTTGCGAAGATTGTGGCATTTTGAAAAATGATCACTTTATATCACTTTATATTATATTTATATACTTCACTTCACACGCACCTATCTTAATTCAATAAAAAATATTAGTTTACCGACTGCGCCATGTTAAATATATGTAATTTAAAGTAAAAGTTTTTAAAATAAAACCATTACATTTTGAGTTATCTCTGTCAAGTGACAAAATATATTTTTTTATAAAAGACATGACAATTAAAAAAGTTTCTAATACAACAGTAGTAACCCACAATGTCAAATGAATACTTTTTCAAGTATTAAACATTTGAAAGAAGAAATAGCAATTATATTTATGATTTTATTTATTTTTTAAGCATTTAACTGCTAGATGTTTAAATCTAAAGAAAAGTTTACTAGAAAAAAATCCACGCGGACCAGGCAGCGGACGGGACTCGAACCCGCATCCTTCTAGTAAACTTTTCTTTAGATTTAAACATCTAGCAGTTAAATGCTTAAAAAATAAATAAAATCATAAAAATCTGTTGTATAAAAGTGTATCAGCTATAATCGACCAAAATGGTCGAAAAGGACTTAACGCAAATTGAAACTCAAATCACTTGGACTTTGCTAAGTCTGTTTATAAAGTTAATTTTCAATTTGGTAAATAACAATCGAGATATCCAGAATTTGTATAAAATTATTCTACGGGATAAATATAGATACGAAAATGGATGTGTTGTAATTTAACGACCGATTTGTGTGGTATTTTGACGACCTCCTTGGCCGAGTGGTTTGTACGCCGGGTTTCATGGTGTCGCCGACTCGAGAGGTCCCAGGGTTCGAATCCCGGTGGGGGCAGATGTTTGTGTGATGAACACGAGCATTTGTACTCCAGTCATGGATGTTTAATATGTATTTCTATATAAATATACTTATATATGTAAAGTATATGTATTCTATCCGTTACCCTAGTATTCCATAACACAAGCCTTACAGTGCTTACTTTGGGGCTAGGCTAATTGGTGTGAGTGTTGGAAATATTTATTTTATTTTTATTTTATTTTAAATCTCACTTTTAAAATTTTGTGGACTTTACCAACTTTAATTGTATACCCCTAATGTATGATGAATGTATGAGTAGTGTTGTATGAGACTTACCTCACAATAGACGTGCCAGCATTGTATGGAGACAGTGGGTGATGAATGTGGACTGAGGCATATAAGACATTTGGCCTGCAATACAAAACATTATACAGTACTTTATTGAAATCACTACTGCATACAGTACAGAATTTTATGACGACCTCCGTGGCCGAGTGGTTTGTACGCCGGGTTTGGTGTCGCCGACTCGAGAGGTCCCGGGTTCGAATCCCGGTGGGGGCAGATGTGTGATGAACACGAGCATTTGTACTCCAATCATGAATGTTTAATATAAAGTAACAACAGAATACATATATAAAGTATATGTATCATCATCAGCCTATTTATGTCCCCACTGCTGGAGCACAGGCCTTCCCTATGGATGGAATACGGAGATTGGGCCATGACCCACCACGCGGGCCCAGTGCGGATTGGTGGGTGCTAACGACTGCAGATGCAGCCGGGACCAACGGCTTAACGTGCCTTCCGAAGCACGGAGGAGCTCGAGATAGTAAATTTTTTGGTCACCCATCCAAAGACCGACCACTGCGAAAGTTGCTTAACTTCAACGATCGCAGCCGAACGCACTAACCACTTGCGCCATCGAGCTCCTACTAAGTATATGTAAAGTATATGTATTCTGTCGTTACCCTAGTATCCCATAACACAAGCCTTATAGTGCTTACTTTGGGGCTAGGCTAATTGGTGTGAGTGTTGGAAATATTAATTTATTTCAACGATCGCAGCCAACGATATTAAATACCCTAGATACACCAACACGAACAAAATCATGTCCGAAACCTGTCCAAAAGGTACATTGGAAATTCCACGGAGCTCCGTAAGACGATCGCGTAGTCTAAACAATGTAAGGCATTATTTAAACATTGCAAATCACCTTTAAAGCATACTGTATAAGTTCTTAATTAAAACGCATGCGTCAAAGACGTATGACAGTCCGAAATGTAAGCTCGTAACAGTTTACGACTTATTGTTATATGCGGAAGAATAAAGACCTTATTTCTGACTCGGAATGCGCTGTTAGCAATATAGCAGGTACGGACCGCGAGGAAAAGAGACGGCTATATTACAGACCATGCATTTGAATATCACAAATATTTTCCATTAAATCAGTTTATAGTAAGTATTAGATCAAAATTTACTTCAAATGCGTTAAATTAACAAACTTTGATTAGATACCTGTCGAAAAAACGACATTTTACAGACTAAAAGTATTTTTTTCGCATTTTTTCATGGAGCTCAGCGGCATGTTGACTTTTCAATGGTCCGCGCGTGACTGTGAACCAAGAAGTGCTTGAGTCATGTTCAAGCACTTCTTGATTGGGACACATTTCGAGCGCTCGTGGTGTATCTAGGGTATTTAATATCGTTGGACTTCATAGAAAAGTTATTAATTAATTGTCCTTTCAGAAAAGTAAAATAGCTGCTAATAATTATACTAAATGCTGATGCCAACAATTGGTGCATTATTTTTCATACTGTCAATTAGTCTCACCATCACCATCAGCCTATTCCCAGTCCCCACTGCTGGGGCACAGGCCTCACCTATAGATGGAAAAGGGAGATTGGGCCATGACCCACCACGCGGGCCCAGTGCGGATCAGCGGGTGCTAACGACTGCAGATGCAGCCGGGACCAACGGCTTAACGTGCCTTCCGAAGCACGGAGGAACTCGAGATTTTGGTCACCCATCCAATGACCGACCACTGCTTTCACGATCGCAGCCGAACGAGTTAACTACCCGCGCCATCGAGCTCCTCCAAATTGTCTTATTAATTTGTATGGTACATGGCTTGTTTACCGGTTTATTTTCAAACCTAAATCAGTGTCAAGTACATTAGGAGCGTTTTATTAAGGTTTGGCTCTACCTTAACCTTAAAAAACCGGTTTTTCTAAAAAGCGAAATCAAATAGGTTTTTAATCAATTTAGCGGTTTTTAAAGGGTTTCATTTCGCTCTTACTGACGGCTGAAATAAATACACAACTACAAAATGAATACCTAGACTCACTCGAAGCTAGCAAACGTGTCAATAAATGCATCAAACTCTGAGCATTAACAAGTTGTGACTTGATTAGTTCAAATAAAACAAACTTCAATCGATGCCGACGCGTGCACGTGTCGCTCTGGATTAAACCGGTTTATTAAGGTTTTAGGTACCGCTTTCATTTCGGACGCGCTCCGAACGAAACCTTTACTAAAAACTAATAAAAATACCGGTAAATAAAGGTTAATACCGAACCTTTATTTACCGGTATTTTTGAAACCGGTTTCAAGCCCTGGTATGTTGCGACGACAGCAAACGACTTTTACGTTTCGTGGCACGCGCTGAGGTAAGGAATTAATTAAAAAACTTACTTCGGACGCACTGTTCTGTCTTCTCTCCAATTCTTTGATTTTCACTTTCAAAGCTTGTATCCTTGTCTGAAAACAAAAGATAATAATTCTTTTAAAGAAAATATAACTAGAAAAATTCCACGCGGATCAGGCAGCAGACGGGACTCGAACCCGCACCCTTCGCAATCCGGGCGAATGCACTGACCAATTATGCTACCGCGGCCCTCACGGATCGCGTCGAAATTCCTCTAGCCATTCTTAAGCTGCAAGGCAGCGCCATCTCTTCGCATTGTAGGTAACCCACAATGTCAAATGAATACTTTTACAAGTATTAAACATTTGAAAGAAGAAAAAGCAATTACAGTCATAATAGGCTAGTTTACTCATGTCGAATTGTATGAAATAAATGTTTATTTCTTAAAGTGTTTAGTCTAAGGAACCTTAATATATCGATTTCACTTCATAAAAGCAGAAGATTGCTGTAGAAATTTAATTTTAAAAAATATTTTTTAGTCTATATTTTTTAAACACTAAAAACGCTGTTCGCCACTTTCGCCATGATTTTGACGTCTCTTGTGGTAAACAACTAAATGTCATTCGCGTGTTACTGTAGATGGATTCTTTCGTCTGACTAAATTTATCTTAAAACACTTTTAACTTTAGGAAAGAAAAAAACAGTAAACTTAGTTTTTTTTTACTAAACAAATTATGGATGCCGGCTTTGTGAAAGCAGAAAGCACAAATCTGCCAAGAATTGACGCATTGATGGTTGGTGAATTTGTTGCACTAAACCCCGATTTCTGCTCTGCGGAGCAGAGAAACGACAAGGCATCTATGTAAGTTCAGTGCATTTAGTATTACAATGTAGTAATAAACATAAAACTGATATAACATATGAATAAGTGTAATAAAGTTGCGTAGGTTAATTTCTTTCGGCACTTTAATCCACAACTTTCCTGGAGTCTTCAAGGATGTGTTTTTATATTCTCGTACAATACAGTAATGATAATTACTTTATTTTTCGTGGTATTTATTAGAAATCATGTTTTTTTTATTATAAACTCAGTTAAAAGTAATTTTCTACGTGTTTACGAGTTTTTGTTTACCACAGTTCACGTCATAGCATAGACAATCTATAGACTAAAATGGCCGACAGCGTTTTTGTATGTCCATGAAAAGTCTATTTTAAAATTAAAGATTTGTAGCTTTCTAGGTTTAAAAAAAATACAATACATTTTTTTCGGTCTAATAGAACATTAATTAACCATTTAAAACCTTTTTCCAAAAAGGGTCAACTAGCCTATTTTAATTTATTTTATTATACCTATAACTTAAATCAATTAATATAATAACTTAGAGTCTTTTGAAGGTACCGAACATTTTTCCGAGATAAAAAATATACTACACACTAGAGATGGGCGTTTTTAGATATTTATGAAATCGATGCGTATCGGTACAGTACAATCCGTTTATTATGACTTCGAAGGAAATCGACAAACACACTAAGCGGACGTCATACAAAGCATTTTAGTGAAACTTTTTTGATTGTGAGATGAGTTTGATTATCCATTTTCTAATCAGCATAATAATATGCTTTGCACCTTTTTCCTCATTCGTGCATGCTTTACGACGTTGAGATGACATTTTTTTACATAGGATATCACTAAAAACAATGCGTCATGTTCAATTTGAATCAACGAACATTGTTCAAATCTCAAAAAGTCAAGTTATAAATAAAACACCAAAATCTGTGGCAAAGGTTGTCTATTTCAAAATAATATTGAACTTAAGTGTATTCGAAAAACAAACTAAATACCGTGATTCAGAACTTGCATAGAAAAATATTAAACATAACAGTAACGCCATCTATGGATGAATTTGATAAATTAAATAATATTACTACATACTTAACAAACATTAGAGGGCGTCCATAAACTACGTGAGGTGTTTTTTTGAATTTTCTGTCCCTCCCTCCCCCCCTGATGAGATGTCGTGAGATTTATTCAACCCCCTCCCCCATTCCCCAATCTCACGTGAGATTTTTCAAAATGTGGGTTTCTTACGTGAATGCGTTGGATTGTTATTGTATAAAGAAAAAAAAATAGTGAATGATCTTAATCGTATTACGATTACGCTTAAGATTCAATCTTAGCATGTACAATCTGGATTAAATGGACCAAAAAGTATATTTTTTTTTGTTTCAATCAGAAAAAAAATGCGTGATATTTGACTCGACCCCCCCCCCCCCCTCTCTCCAACGTAAGATTAGATGAGATTTGACTCGACCCCCTCCCTCCCTTAAACATCTCACTTAATTTATGGACGCCCCCTTACCGTAGTTGTAAAGTACCATGTCGGTCACTATAAACGGACAAAAATGATTAAAATGGGTCATAATAAGCGACATGTCACTGTAAGCGAAGTCATTATATCCGACATTGTTACAATGAATTTTATATGAAAACCAAACTTCGTTGTGTAATTACGTCATAATAGGCGGTTGGTCAATATAGGCGGGGTCATAATAAACGGATTCTACTGTATATATGATAAATCGCATCGGATCCGTGCACCGATGCCGGCATCGCATCGATGCCAAGTGTAAGTGTATTTGTAGGAAAACACCCAGAATTTTATTCACCAATAGTAAGTGTTAAAAGAAATAATAGGTATTTAAATAAATTAGAAGTGCCATACAGCAAATTAAAATTGGTTTCGGATGGTCCTCATGCTATGACAATAAAAATCTATAATAATGTACCTAATAATATAAAGAACGTAGAAATATCAACCAAATTCAACAATCAATTAAAATCATATTTAATCCAAAAATGTTTTTATAATTTAAAAGATTTTTTTGACGACAAATGTAATTAATTTTTAAGGTTGACATTTTCATTATTATTATTGCTTATTGACATTGTTAAATCTACTTTATAAAATTGAATTGTTTGTTGTGTAAAAATTAAATTATTATTGTTTATTGAAATTGTTAAATCTATTTTATAAAATATAATTGTTGTGTAAAAATGAAATGTGAACTAAGTATTATAATATAATTATTTAACAAGCCCTCTGGCTTGATATTTGCTATGCCCTTGCAGGGCGTCACATATTTACTTTACATAAATTAACGTACCACCATGAATGTTATGTGACATGCAATAAATGAATAAATAAATAAATAAATATGTCAGTATCGTAGTATCACTAACTATTCAGTGCCAGTGGCGAAAATGTGAACTACAATTTATCCATAGAATAGGGTATTTGACAGTACTAAAAATAAAGTGCCAATTGTTAGCATCTGCGTTTAGAATGAATATTGGCATGGGTTTTAACTATTTTTTACAACAAAAAATATATTAATAATTTTACTAAAAACCTACGAAAAAAATAATAGTTTATTTGTTTCTTAGGTTTTTACGCACATCACTCATTAAATAAAACTAGTTTTTACGGGTTAATGCACGAAACCTTATTTATTTATTGACGTTTCGTAGCCTTTATAGGTAGGAAACGTCAATAAATAAATAAAGTTTCGTGCATTAACCCGTAAAAACTAGTTTTAGATAATAGTTCTCTTATCTATTGTCACGTGACCCAAACCGCTTAGGATTGGCGGAGCCTAAAATGACGACACTCGCAAGTAAACTCCTGTTAAAGTGACATTACATTGTATCGTTTGACGTTTTAATAAGTCTTGTGACGTCACACACTAGTAAGACGCCATATTGTCCAGAGAAACGTTTTCGCGGCAACTTGAAAATGGAGTTTTTGATTTGGTTATTTTTACTGAAATACACAACAGAATGATGAATATCCACTTTTTACGGACTCCATAAACATTAGTCAATAACGTGAGATCGTTGCCAAAACTTGTCAAATACCCTATTGTTTATGGTTTCTTTTCCTTTTTGTCTCAGAGGAAGTTGAATAGAGTACAGTGTGATGTACTTTATGGATGACTAGCGGCCGCCCGCGACTTCGTACGCGTGGAGTTGGTTACAAATAAAGGTTCACTGCTCGTTCCCCGTAGGTGATAGCGTGATAATATGTAGCCTATATATTGACCCGACTTCATGCCAAATTTGAAGTAAATCCATGCAAAACAGACAAAAATTCTAAATACTAGATTTTTGGCTTCGGTATCGATTGTAGATCACAATCTGAGTATTCTTTAAAAAAATATTCAACGTACAGTTTTGGCTTTCCCACCATTTTATTATACGTATAGGTCATTATTTTAAGTATACTTGTATAGATCACTCACCTCAGCGCTGGCTTCCACCAATCCGTTGGGTTTTGATTTTCCTTCGGTGCTAACATTGAGTTCTTGTGAAGAATCCGACAATGCCTCCGCGTCAATCTCTTCAGATGTATCATGTTCAGGTATAAATGCCTGTAGATTAAAAAGCAACAAAGTCACGAGCGTCACACGAGCGTCACACGACTATATCTATATACCTTTACTAGCGGCCCGCCCTCGCTTCGCTTCGGTGTAGAGCTGAAGTGTAGATTTCAGTTTTTGTTCTCAGGCTTGTATTATACACAATGGCATTCATCTATGATTCATCTTATACCTGCATGCAAAGTCTCAGCCCGATCGGTTTAAAATTGACAAAGTTTGATACAAACTATCATTCCCTATTTTATCCCCTTGGGGGTAGAATTGATCAAAATCCTTTCTTAGCGGATGCCTACGTCATAACATCTACCTGCATGCCAAATTTCAGCCCGTTCCGTCCAGTGGTTTAGGCTGTGCTGTGCGGCAAAAATGGCTGTATCTTTTGATTGCATTGGCTTAGAAGTTTAATTTTTTCACAGCTGCAAGGGACAGTAGACATGAGCATTAGATATGAATTTCAGTTTGATGCCTCCACGCGTTCCTGAGAAAAACGGTCTTGACAGACGGACGGACGGACAACAAAGCTATCCTATAAAGGTTCCGTTTTTTTGCTTTTGAGGTACGTAACCTTAAAAATTATTAATAAACAAATATTTACTCACATCTGGGGCTATTCTAGAGGGGGAATATTGTGGGGGGCCGTATAACTCTGTGTCTTCGTCGCCGTCAACTACCTGCAATAACATTATACATTATAGTTTTAAGATCCGAATCTAAATCGACCTTTACCGATCTGTTAATAGAATGAAACATGGTTAGCGCGTTCGGCTGCAATCGTTGAAGTTAAGCAACTTTCGCAGTGGTCGGACTTTGGATGGTTGACCAAAAATTTACTATCTCGAGCTCCTCAGTGCTTCGAAAGACACGTTAAGCCGTCGGTCTCGGCTGCATCTGCAGTCGTTAGCACCCACCAATCCGCAATTGGCCCGCGTGGTGGGTCATAGCCCAATCTCCCTATTCCATCCATAAGGAAGGTCTGTGGCCCAGCAGTGTGTACATTAATAGGCTGATGATGATGATATTTTATCATGAATTTAGGTTGCAGAAAAAAAATCAAGGACAGACAGTTTTTAATTAAATATAAAGAATATAATTATATGTTGCAACATCAAGATAATAAGAAAATTTTGTCCTGACTTACAGTATAAAATGTGTAAAATGTGCAGCCGTTGGGTTGTCAATAGTCCAGTAATAAACAAGGTAAAAAATAATTTACCTGGACGAACTACTGGGGTGCCAGGTAAAGGTAAATTTAAATGATCGTAATGCATTGACATAGTGTTTCTTATAATTTGTTATTTAATAACTATATATTTATATTCTAAATGATGTAATGGAAGGTGACTCTGAAGTCATTTTTCAACTTGGCGACTCTGTATATAACAATACAGGGAGAAAAAAACAGTCCTAGCTGAGTTTCTTGCCGGTTATTCTCAGTACAAGGTCTCCCGCCGTAGTTTTGCGAACCGATGGCGTAGCTTCTTGACCTTCAGATCAAAATTTACATCATACAGTCAGCTTTCAACCATGGGTCCCACACTAGGAGGTCCTGTATCGTGGGCACCCAATGTTAACAGCCTAGACTGAATAAATGACTTTTCAGTCATTCATTTCATACATTTCATTTCATTTCATTCATATCATTCATTTCATTTCACTCATTTCATTTCATTCATTTCATTTCATTCATTTCATTTCATTCATTTCATTTCATTTCATTTCATTTCATTCATTTCATTTCATTCATTTCATTTCATTCATTTCATTTCATTCATTTCATTTCATTCATTTCATTTCATTCATTTCATTTCATTCATTTCATTTCATTCATTCATTTCATTTCATTTCATTCATTTCATTTCATTAATTTCATTTCATTTCATTTCATTCATTTCATTTCATTCATTTCATTCAGTGTGAATGTAAAGGATAGGAATGTGGGCCTTGTAGACACCACAGTATTCTTAGGGATAACTTTAGATTCTAAGCTTCAATGGGGCCCACATATTGATAAATTGTCAAATAGACTTAGCTCTGCAGCATATGCCGTAATGAAGGTATTATTGATTAGTGTACTTTAGTTATTTCCATAGTGTTATGTCGTACGAAATTTTATTGTGGGGAAATGCCGCCGACATTCAAACTTTTTTTGTGCTGCAGAAGAGAGCTATTCGATCAATTTATAATCTTAAAGTTAAAGAATCATTAAGAGATAAGTTTAAAGAATTTGGAATAATGACGGTCGCATCACAATACATATACGAAAATTTATTACTTGTAAGAAAAAATATTAATTTGTTTCATAAAAACAGTGATGTTCACACAATTAATACAAGAAACAAAAATAAACTAACTTTACCTGCTACTAGGCTTCACAAAATTAATAATTCATTTAAAGGTCTTTGTGTTCGCTTATACAATAAAGTCCCAAGCAATATCCAAGAGTTAGCCATAAATAAATTTAAAGATATTATAAAAATAACACTTATTAAAAAAGCTTATTACAAAGTGTCTGATTATATTACAGACAAAAATGCTTGGGTTTGAACTGTTCCAATGATTTCAACAGGTTTTCTATATTAAATAAATCATAATTGTATTGACGTTGTAACAACATAATGATTTGTAAATGTTGTTACATTAGATTTTTAATGTTGTGGAGTTTTTTTCGCTCGTTTTCCCGGCAGCTAAAAAATATGTCCATAACGAGTGGTAGGGAAAAAATTTTTTGGATGATTCAAAAGAGTTGTATTATACATCCAATTTGAATAAAGATATATTGATTTCTGATTTCTGATTTGATACATTTCATTCATTTCATTTCTTTTAATTCATTTCATTTCATTTGATTCATATCATTTCATTTATTTCATTCATTCATTCATTTCATTTAATAGTGTTGTATTGCTCACCAACGCTTGGTCGTGTGAGGCGCGCCGCACGCATGTGGCAACCCTGGCCTGGTCCCCCTGCAGGGCGGTAGCGCGCACTCTCCACTCCCCGCACCACTGATATTCCGCCCCGAAACCACCTGACGGCTCGTCATTCTGGATAAAAGGAACGATTCATCTTGTTGACACTCCAAAAGGTTCTTGGTTCATTTGTGGGTCCAAGGTATATGTTACTTAAATAAAATAACAATAGAAATATTAATTTACCTTTTAATAAGTTTACAGTGTGTATAAAAAAATGTCTACTCTTTTTGCTTAATTTATTTTATATTTTGTTAGGGCCCGTCAAATCAAAACTTTAAATGCTAGGTGGGCCGATAGATGTCTGGGAGTATATTATAAATGTGAAAGTTTGTCTATTTCTTACTCAATGACGCAAAAACAGCTGTACGGATTTGGATGAATTTCGGCATACATATAGTTTATGACTGGGAATAAGACATAGGACGCTTTTAGTAACAAAAAAATGTTAAGTTACCGAGGGCTTTTCCAAAAACTTAAGTTACCCAGACGAAGTTGCGGCCGATCACTAGTATAAAATATATATTTAAACCTATATAATTTAGGTATTCCATACAAACCCAAGCAATGGATAGAATGCTTGGGGCGTCTAGGCTACGTATGAAATATAAATATTAATTTCCATCTAAAGAAATTTTACTAGGAAAAAATCCACGCGGCCAAGCGGGCGGATGCACTGAACACTTATGCCATCGTGGCCTTAATGGTAGTAATTCTTAGGCCGCAAAGCAGCGCCATCTCGTCGCATTGTAGGTAACGCAAAAAGTCAAAAGAACACCTTTACGAGTTAATAAACATTTTAAAAAAGAAATAGCAATTCTATTCAGGCCCTCAACATCCCCAACATCTGGCCCTGGTCGACACACTAGCAGCTTGAAGAAAAGATATATAATCACGTCACGCCTGCATCAATGACGTCATCCGCAGAACTCTTGTCGCAGTCAACGTGCCAGCGGTCTTTGAGCCCAGCGGCATCTTCCGAGACGATGGCAAGGGACCTGACGGAATGACGCTCATTCCTTGGAAGCAGGGTCGTCCTCTTGTATGGGACGCCACTTGCGTGGATACGCTTGCTCCGTGCCATACAAGTAGTACCTGCCTGGCTGCAAGCGCGGCGGCGACCTCTGTCGAGTGCTCCAAGCGGCGCGAATATTCAGCTCTCAATGAGAACTACATATTTGTACCGTTTGTTGTGGAGACTATGGGACCATGGGGTCCAAGTGCTCGTTCCTTCTTTAAGGAATTGTCTAAGAGACTCTTTGGTGACCGGTGATCAAAAGGCTGGCAGCTACGTTAGCCAACGGATTAGCCTCGCTATCCAACATAGAAATGCTAACAGCGGCGGACTGGGGATGATATATTTTTTATTTTGTAAAGTGTATAGGTATTATATAAGTTCTCAGTTTTTTCTGGTTTTTACGTTTTTAGACATTAGGTAGTTATAAGATTTTGTAATTTTAAATACTTCTATGTAAACATCATACAGTACCTCCACATCAATGCTTCCTTCTTCGGAGCTTGTATCAGGCACGTCTTCATCCATCACAGCTCCGGTCCTCTTGAGGCACCGTAGAGCGTGTCGTTGCAGACGGGATGTAGGTATCGTGGTGTTGCATACGGGACATTCGCCCTGCGGGGGCGGGGGTGTGCTCCGACGCCGTTGCCGGAGCCGGCGGAGACGGTTGGCGTGTACTCGCTATGTAGGAATAGGGATGATGACTAATTTTTTTTTTCTTCGTATATCAGGTAGATTATTAAACAGTATTGGACTTGTATTTTTTCTTTTTTCACATAATATAAACATTGCAGAGATATATTGATTTGAAAAGTCGCATAACGTCACGTTTTAGTACACTTTTTAAGTGAATATTCACTAAAAAGTGATGTCACGAGCCCCTTCTCCCAAACTTTGATGCACTATAACTTAGTCATTTTTTGGTTGATTGCCCAAAGAAAAAATACGTGTTCATTATTTTTTGATCATCTAACTGACGGACTTAATAGAATTTCGTTTACTGTACCCCCTCATCACCCCTATTGTCCATAAATAAATTCCAGAAAAATTCACAACAGCTTATAACTCTATTTTTTTTTCTGGTCGCCCCCAGCACATGGCATGACACAGAATGTCATGGCCCTAGTTTTCATCCAGAGGACAAGGTATAAATATACGATGGGTTTCATTCTATTTTCGTCGTTATATTCGGAAGTTGTTACAGGCAAAGGTAAAGAGATGTAGACACATACATACATGTGTATAGATTATATTTATTTATAAATGATTTCCGCCTATTCTTTAACAGTGAATGTGCATCTAGCAGCCATAATTATTCAAAAGTTTACTAAACCCAGCTGCTACTCAGAATATCACTTTGTAATTGAATCATGAGTTTCAACTCCAAATGCTTCCCTACCTACTTAGCTTATATCTATAAACAAAATGTAAAGGTCTCCAATTCACAACAGCAGGCAGAAAACGATAGCCCTGATTATTATTTACAAAAAATATTTTTTTGTTTGAAATTTGTACTGATGATGTCAATAAGTGCCTGTAATAATCAAGGGGCCCTGCATAAAAAAGGTTGTGTGACCAAATAAATAAGTTATATGTTGATCTACAGGACCATGCATCACTCAACTACCTATGTAATTGTATTTGTTAAATGTATGAATTCAGAAAGAAATAAGAAAACATTAATTCATATAATTTGCAAAAATTTTGTAACCTAAATTTATATTTTATGGACAAACTTATTTAAATAAATAAATATTTCCAACACTCACACCAATTAGCCTAACCCCAAAGTAAGCACTGTAGGCTTGTGTTATGGATTAATAAAATATGACAGGCAAATCCAATAAGAGGTAAATGGATTGATGGGAATTCCTTATTCCTTAATTGTTTCTTATTAGGCATTGAAAATTTAGACTATTTAATCTATATTTCCAGCCAGGTCAGGGTGTTTTAGTTACATGTCGAGTTTCTGATTTTCATAAGGAAAGAAGCCCTTATATTTGTGATTTCAACAATATTGTATTAATCAATATTCAGTTTTTCCATAATCTTATTTTGATGGGTATTTATCTAATTATAAGTTGTTTAATTTATGTTCACTGTCTAATTGTATGCATGATTGCTTGTATAGTAGCTATTAAGGATAAATAAATAAACTCTCATTTGAAAACTTGTATCTTTGTCTAGTCTCTGTTTACGTGAATACATTGTACTTAACAGCATGTTATTGTTTATAAACAACTAACCTGATACACATCGCCTCCTGGGCACCCTGAAACATCAATTTCTTGATCATCGGTATCTTCGAAACCGGCAGAACTAGAGCCCGGCAGTGCCAAGTTAGGAGAGGAGTTAACACTGAGTTTTCTCTTAGAACCACTCGACAATTTATTGAGTCTCTCTACTTCTAAAGCCAAGTGACTGTCTAATTCACCCTGTCTTATCGTACAACTACATACAGGACAATTGGGTAATTCGCTGACTTTCTTCCTACTCCGAACACAATTCAAAATCACGCTTTCATCGTAGACACCACTGAAACTCGAACCGGGACTGTTATTCAAATTGGAACTCCCTTCCATATTATTGTACATCAAAATTGGTAGCATCTCAATTTTGTTATTGTCACACAGCTATTCTAAATCGGGCGACATCACAGTTATTACACTAGCAAAGCTTTAATTGAGCATGTAAAATCACAAATGGAACTTCGACAAATCCAACGCAACTTATCTTGCAGTCATCACATAAATAAGAAAGGTTTAATTTCAAGATAATTTGTTACAAAACAACACTAGTCGGTTCGTTCACTTTTTCAAATGAAAATCGAACAAAAATGACATTTCGCGATAGATTTGATTCGTTCTAAACGTTTCTTTTGGTTTCTTTATCTGAAAATGTTTTGACAAACAAAAAGTAATCGAAATCAAGTTGTTTGATGACATATGTGATATTTATTGAAAATGGAACACACACTCAACTTCAACTGCACTTAATCTGTGACCAGCAACCATAAAGCCAGAAACATATTAACGTGGCGTGTCGTGTCGTTGCGCGGCAGCAGCACATCGGTTTCATACATTAACTATGTTTAGTGATTTATCTACGTGTCGTGTCGTATCGACGCTCTAACCTATCTCTCTCTAACCCTTACACATTTACTATAAATGTATGAAACCGATATATGTTTAAATACACGTAAATATGTTTCTGGCTTAACTGTAATAAAAACTAAGCTTATTGAGATAGCCATAACAAAGGCCACTGGTTTTGGGCCGTACAGCATAACTTGAGGCAGAACTACACTTATCTGTCTTGTTGTGAGCTTAGAGTATATACGGAAGACGCCATTACTTTCCTGTCTTCTCTGTCAAAAGGTACAAGACAAACACCAAAACACTCGAAAAATGTTACCCTCCGCAGTCGAGTAAAAATAAAATTTCGCCTCTTGGATCTTAAAATTACTGTCGTATTCATAATCAGCACTCTCGAAAACTTTGAATACAATACACATATTATTATCAGTCTTATTAAAAAAGTCGATAAAAATATCAAAACATTTTTTTTTCTTATTTCAATTGACTATATTTTTGTTTATTGTTTAAGTAGGAGATTCTTTTTTTTTTGAAATAGTAACGTTTTTGCATAATAAAAAAATGACAATTTTATTATGATTGTGTTGTAACAAACATATGCTCTAAAATACTAGATATATGACTTATATTGTGGGACAGAGGAAGTCATTCTTGTCATTTTTTCCAAATAATATGAAGATTCCGTAATGACCGACTACGCAGGCCCAGTGGGTGCTAAAGACTGCAGATGCAGCCGGGACCAACGGCTTTACGTGGCTTTCGAAGCACGGAGGAGTTCGAGATAATAAGCTTTTGGTCACCCATCGAATGACCGACCATTGTGAAAGTTGCTAAAACTGCACGATCGCAGGCCGAACATGCTCACCACCTGCGCTATCGAGCTCCATACGTATTTCTGAAATATTTAGATATTTGTTTATCATTTTGAATCAAGCGTACGCTAGCGTAGCACTCGTTGAAAGAATGGGAATGATCTTTGCCGGCAGCTTGAATCACTGAGTATTTTCTAATTTATCACACTTAATAAAATTATTAACTTCTTTTATCATCGAAGGAATCAATATTAGGAAAACAAATATCCTCAATTCACTAAAATCTATGAATTCGCTACCCTCATAAAATAATCAAAGAATAGGTAAGCTCGAAGATAAGCATGGGTCAGTTACGCACTGTTTTTTGACAAAATTCTGCTTTTGCTATCATTAAGGCGAGTCAAAAGTGTTAAATGTAGGCAGGGTATCCTATACAATGAAGCAAACGCATGTAACTGCTTGATATTTAAAGCTAAAGTAAATTTTACTAGATTTTTTTTCCGTTTCGGAAGAATATGGCAACTAACATTATAAAATTATAACATTTTTGAAGCATTTAACTGCCAGGTGTTTAATGTACAGAATACACGCCGGAATTTTCTTTACAATCAAACATCTAGCAGAGAAATGCTTGAAAAAGTATAACCATTGCTAATTGCTATTTTTTCCTTCAAATGTTTAATACTTGTAAATACAATGCGAAGAGATGGCGCTGTCTTGCAGCCTAAGAAGGGCTAGAGAGAATCGACATGGACATCAGGGTCACGGTAGCATAATGGTTAGGGCATTCGCCCGAAAGGGTGCAGGTTCGAGTAAATAATAGTAGAGAAAATTTTACAAGAAAATATTCCCGTCTGCAGCCTGGTCGCAAATGGAAATATTTTCTAGAAAATTTCCTTTAGAAGTAAACACAGTTAGCAACATGAGTATGTGTTAGAATTTTGTGTATGATAGAAATACTAAGCAAGTACTAAAGATATAAATAAACTTTGTAATAGATATTTAAGATCATTTTCTTTTGTCCCAGGCGATGGATACCCTGCATCCGGCTGCAAGGTTATGTCGGACTCCTACTGTCTAAAACACACCCGTAGTTTATGCTTATAGACGGAAGGGCCTTACAAGCTTCATCTGAAGTGATAATCCCCCGAGAGGGGGATATTGCAGTGGGTCATTTATAAATGAAACTTTTTGATTTCATTACAAACAAACATTTTTTTCATTCTTCAAAAAGTGTTCATTCAAATATCGTTCATTCTTTCAAAATCCTATTATTAAACATTTGAATGACTATAATGTAAAGCGAATACTAAATAAAGGCCTCGTCGTCGTTGCGTCGCGCCCGTAGACCAGTCACTGCGTAGTTGATAAGAACCCTTTAAAGCCTGCCGTTATCACGCCAACTAGTCGAAGAATTCAACTAGTTGATGGACGGTAGTGGACGGTTTCGTTTCGTCGACGACCCGCCTCTAGTCTGTACTAAACTCAAGTTTACCTGTGCAGTTGAACTGTACGGGTAAACCTGTCAGGTATACCCTGGCCTGTATGACTTGCTTTACATAAAAACTGTAAGCGTGTGTGCGTTTTTTTGTTTGTGTGACGTGATTTTTGAAGTTTGCGTTCATAGCAACAACAAAAATTTCTTAGAGCACACAATGATTTCCTGCTCGGACGATCATTTGCCTGTAACCTGGATCTTTCAGCATGACAATGACCCTAAACACACGGCCAATAGTGTCAAATGTTTCATTAGCGAACAGCGTATATCCGTTTTAGACTGGCCAGCAAATAGTCCGGATTTAAACCCGATAGAAAATCTCTGGTATAATGTTAATAAAAAGAGAGTCTCAAACAAACGTAACACCAGACAATAAGGGATACGCCACCAAATATTAATTATAACTAATGCTAGGCTGTGGATAGTAGCTATTTCGAATATAACCAAACATAATTACTCATATTAAGTATGAGTTATTTCATACTTTTTTATTGTTGTTTCTAATTAGTTGACAATTATTGTTCATACCTTAAGACTGATTTAAATGTTTGTCCGAAATGTAATATTGAAACTGCACTTGTATAATGGGATTTATATTGTTTTTATAATATAAATGATAAATCGTTGAAGATGTTGTTGTCCTATTTACTGTTCAATTTGAAAATAAAAACGATTGCGGTGAAGTAACTTACATAATGTCAATGATCGTTGGTAGGGTTTCTAATTATACGACCACCACTGTATGTATATATTTGTAAACATTTTAACCTAAAATGTCGTAAATAAAATAGTAAATTTTAATAAATCAGGAAGCACATCTGCTCAAAATATAATTTTGAATAAATAACTAAACTACTTCTAACCTAAACAAAATCAAATCCAGTAGTATAGAATTCTGTTTAGTAAGGAACAAGGCTATTTCATCAGTCAAGATACATTAGATATTCTAGAATAAATCAAATGTTCCCAATAATTCCCGATTCTTAAAGTACCTTTGTTCCTTAATTATGTTGTTATTTAAATAACTTTTTGATCAGACGGTTTTTTTTAAATTAGTTTAATATGACTATTAATCGAATTTATAGTTTTGTATTTTTGTATTTTGTATTTGTATAAATGGAGCTGATTACGAAAACAACATTTTTCTCGAGATCCAAGAATATTATTAATGTTTCAGATTTTGGGACTATGCAGTCCTAATGGCACTGTTGTCACGGCAACTTAAAAGAGAAAGAAGACTTAAAAGATCTTAAAAGAATGATTTTGGTGTCGAATATGGTATCTTTCCTCTAAACTTAAATTTGACAAGTGTATTCTTGTTATCCTCTATACAGTATGAAAAGGAGATAGAAATATTAACTTTAGTTTTAAGCTTCGAGAACCATGCAAGAATCGAAACCTTTGTTTGGTTAAGTTATAGATTGTAAATGATTGCATATTTGTTTTTTTTTTGTAAGATCTGTCGATGTATATTTGTTTTATCAACATGCTGTTTGTATCGGCAGATACACTTAATTAAATCTGAATGTTTTCCAGTACAAAAAAAATGACTGATTTCATTCATTTGTCGTCACATCACTATGAATTTCTATCTATTATTTTTGTCATTCATTCGTGATTTCGCGCCTTTTCTTTGAATTGAATTTTATACCAGAATACTAACTTTTTAGAACTTAAAAATACTTGTATATGATAGGACACACCATGTTTCAGCAAGATTGAAGTGTCAGATCGGTTTTAGCGTGGGAAAACTACATGATTTTCCATTTTTGTGGGAGCTCCGAATCACGCTGCGGAACGATTCAAAATGGTAACGGTCGCGGGTGAACTAGTTTTATATAACGATCGTGGCATGGCCAATGGTCATCGATTTGGTGGAGGGGTTCGCCGGTCCATGCCATCTCCAGTGGTTAAATGCTCTAAGGGGAATACCCTATTTAATATTGCACTACGACAGAATGCGCTATGACAGAACGTGGGTACGGGGTACATAATTACTTACCAAAATAGTATGCTCTACCTGTATTCTACCCAGTGTTTTTTGTTTAATCCATATAAAACCAATGCTCGCTATTTTAATTTATGATAATTATATGTGAAAATGGATTTACCCTTGAGAAAAAAACATAGACAGAGAAATACAGACAGGTTGGTTAAAAGCAGCAAGTGGAGACTCAAGCAAAGCGTTTTCTACTAATTGTTCTACGGAAATTGTTGCTGAACTATTTGACATAAAGAAACATGCTAGGAAAAAAAATTTAGACAGAAAAATCATGCGTGACATGAAATGACAAATCGTGATAATTTTTCGAAATTATATTTTAGCCTTGCAGCTTAAGGCTAGGAGAATTTCGACGCGGCTAATAGGGCCGTGGTAGCATAATGGTCAGTGCATTCGCCCGGATAGCGAAGGATTCGGGTTCGAGTCCCGTTCGCTGCCTGGTCCGCGTGGACTTTTTCTAGTAAACTTTTCTTTAGATTTAAACATCTAG